GCTACAGAAGAGCGAGAGCCAAGGATGAGAACGACTTGAACCTATAAGAGCTCTAGGAGCTACACAAGACGATAGACCCGATCGCCTAGTGCTACAAGCTCGGATCAAGAGGAGATAGCTAAACGCTTAGATCGACAGTAAAGTAAAGAAGAACTTTATCAACCTAAAAATAGTCACAAGGCTAAAACTGCTATAGAGGAAGAAGAAATAGACCTATTGCCTTATAAATGCAAAAGGATAGTTCTTTAATTATAATAACGGTATTATCGACTAAGAAATTAATCACTTTAAGGTCCTTATTAAAGGAAAGAATTAGGGAATTAGTTTTAATATCATACCTTTAGGAGAGGAGATAGATATCATCCTAGGCATAAACTGGCTAAAACAACAAAATCTACATATTAACTAAAAGACCGGCCAAGTCATATTCCTAAGTGACTCTTATAGCAATAATAGAACAATTATAAAAAGCAATAAGAGATCTTAAACACTAACCAAGAAGGAAGGCAGTGATAAGGGCAAAACCAATCAATTGCCGCCTCCAAAAGGAGCACGACACAAGCACAAAAAGGGCACAAAATATAAAACAGAAATCCTTAGCATCCTATAAAAAGAGGATCCTTAAAAGGAGGAAGAAATAAAGAAAGAGTTAGAACAGGACCGACTTAAGAATATCCCAAAAGAATACCAAATATATAACAAATTATTTAGTAAAGACTTAGAGACAGGAATCCCGGAACACAGCAAGTGGGATCATGAAATCAATCTAATAGACAATAAGCTACTATTATAGAAGCTATACTTACTAAATCAGAGAGAACTATAAGTTCAAAAGGAATATATTGACAAAATACTAAGGAAAGGCTACATCAAGGTATCTAATTTATTATTAGCCTTAGTAATATTCTTTATACCTAAGAAGAATGGAAAGGATCGGCCAGTAATTGACTACTGACCGTTAAATGTATGCACTATTAAGGACCAAACCCCACTTCCGCTTATCACAGAACTTAAGGATTGGCTATAAGGTAAACAGATCTTTATGGCTCTAGACCTAAAAGGAGCGTATAACCTTATCTGTATTAGAGAAAGAGATAAATAGAAAACGGCATTTAAAACTAGATTAAGACTCTATAAGTATATAATCATGCCTTTTAGTCTTACTAACGCACCCATAACGTTTCAACAGATAATTAACAGTATACTTTAACAATACCTTAACATCTTTATTATATACTACCTAAATAATATCCTAATCTTCTCAAATAACAAAGAAGAACATAAGGAGCATATCTATAAGGTCTTAAAAGCACTATAAGATACCAAACTATTAGTTAAACCAAAGAAAAGCTTCTTTTACATTAAGAAGGTAGACTTTTTAGGACATACTATTACGCCTAAAGAAATCCAGATAGAATAAAAAAAGATCTTAGTAGTAGCAGACTAGAAGGTCCTAAAGAACGTTAAGGAAACACAAGCCTTCCTAGGATTTATAAACTACTACCAAAAATTCATTAAAAACTTCAACAGGATTGCTAACCTACTAATAGAGCTAATAAAGAAAGATCGAACGTTTATATAGAACGATAAGGCATAAGAAGCTTTCAAATAGCTTAAAGAAGCCATCCTTAGCGAACCAGTCTTAATTATATTCGACCTAAAAAGAGAAATCGAACTAGAGACAGACTTATCTAACTATACCTTAGGAGGATAAATCGGTTAACAAGATGACATAGGAAAATTATATCCTATTGCATTCTACTTACATAAGTTATATAATGTAGAACTTTACTACCTAATCTACAATAAAGAGTTCTTAGTGATTATTAACTGTTTTAAGGAATTTAGATATTATCTTATAGAAAGCAAACATTAAGTTAAGGTATATATAGATTACCAGAATATCTTGTACTTTATAACTACTTATAAACTTAATTAACGATAACTACACTATATAGAATATTTATGTAAATTTGACTTTATAATTATCCACAGAAAAGAGATAGAAAATAGAAAAGCAGATACAATTAGTTGATAACTAGACTATAATACTGGCACTATAAAAGCAAATAAACAAGTATTAGAAAAGAATAAAAAGGGAAAATATATCTTTACCTAATAAATGCAAACCTTAGGATGGATGGAAGCTAAAATGACTAAGGAAATCCTAAAGGAACTAGAAGAGTTTATATAAAAATTCTACAAACATCCTATATATAAACACCAGAGAGTAATAAAGACTCTTAAATGACTCCTATAACATAAATATAAGATACAACAAATAACAGTAGAAAAGGTTATCAGATAATACAACCTTTACGCAAAAATAAAGGCTTAATGACATAAACCTTATAGAGAACTTCAACTACTGCCTATAGTATAGTAACTGTAAGACTTAATCATAATAGACTTTATTATAAAGCTACCGCTATCCAAAGAACCCTTAACCAGAATCTTCTATAATAGCATTATAGTTATTATAAATCGCCTCACTAAGTTCTCATACTACCTACCTTATAGAGAAGATATAAATGCAAAAGAGCTTGCATATATTATCTATAGATATATTGTCAGCACATACAGATTACTAACTGAGATCCTCTCAGATAGAGGACTAATACTTACATTAAGGTTTTAGAATACACTTGCAGCACTACTAGAGCTAAACTATAAGTTAATAACTGCATTTAGAGCCTAAGTAGATAGATAAACAGAACGAATAAATCAAGTGCTAGAACAGTACCTACGGTATTATGTCAATTACGAATAAAACAACTAGATTAAGAAGCTATTATGCGCTCAGTTAGCATATAACACTGCCTATAATAAGAGTATAAAGCTTATACCAGTATATACTAATTTTAGATTTACACCAAAAGCCTATAGAGACCTATATAAGCCTAAAATAATTAACCTAGCAGTAATAATTAAGAGTGATGATATAAAGAACCTATATAATAAACTTCAGATAGAACTTAAGTTTATTAGAAAACAGATGTAACGATACTATAACCCTAAGAAGGTAGAGGGACCTACCTTTTCGGAGGGGGATATGGTTTACCTATCCACAAAAAACATTACCATTAAATGACTAAATTACAAACTTGACTTTAAATATATTAGACTATATAAGATTATCAAAAAGGTCTTAAAGAATAACTATAAACTAGACCTACCACTAAAGGTTAGGATCCATCCTGTCTTTCACATTTTACTGCTTAAGTCAGCAGCAGATACAATCCATATCAGAATGCATAACAAACCTACAGAAGTAGAAGGACCAGAGAGCTACAAAATAGAAGCAATAAAGGAGATAAAGACAATCAACAAGAAAACAGAATACCTTATTAAGTAGAAAAACTACCTAGAAAGCGAAAACACATAAGAACCACCAAAACACCTTATTAATACCTAATGACTCCTAAAGAATTTTTATTAACAACACCAGAAGAAGCAGAAGGATCAAATAATAGGAAAGCATTAAAAAACTTATCACCTAACCCCAACGCCAACCAATCAACATCATTAGGAATATAATCAACCTAGAGATTACGAATTAGCGCATCTTCATGCGCATCTAGACCAGACAAGATTATATCCTAATTAGTATCCTGAAGACCATGATGGGTAGCCTTAGAACGTTTCTCCTTTATATAAATATAAATCTTATAAATCCGTAATAAACGACTAGCGGCAAGAGCCAAACAAGACTGTAATGCGGCTATCTCCTTATGAAGCTTAAGAAGATCCTTATTTACTTAATTTTTATTGTTCTTAAGTTTTTTCTCCTGCTTTATTAACGTTATAACTAGAAGGAGGGTTAATAAGGGAAAGAAAGAAGGAATAAATACACATAAGAAAAAGCCATATAGATACCATTATAAGACTTCTTAGCCTAAATACACTTACTATAACAAGTAGAATTAGCAGATATAAAGCATTTATCGCTTTTACCTAAATGGAAGCACTAAATGCAGGGTATATCGGCCTGTTTGTTTAAAAACTTAACAGCAAGTGTAAGAGTTTAAATTTTACAATCCTTATGAGATAACTGCTTAAATATATAATTAGATATTATAAGACATAATAATAAAAAGTTGAAATTACGACTTACCAAAAAGGAAACAGTATTAATCGGATAACAGGCCTTAAGGGCAAGACTAGTAAAAAGGGGAGATCGTATTATAATTACAGCACTTACGTCACGTATACTCCACAAATTCTTCCATAACTACTAATTAAGCTAGGACCGATACTTACAGAACCGATAGCAATCTAGAACCGCATCACCCCAGAACTGACAACAACTTCACTTAACGATACTCCCCTATAACTACACTAAATATATATAGATACATTTATTTAGCAGTAAATAAAACTTAGCTTACTAGCTATTAATAAAGCATCTTTATATTAATAAGCCTAATATATATTACTTAATTATTAAGAGACATAACACTTTATAAGCTTAGCATCACGCCCTATATTATCTGCAAATATAAACCTAATATAGACTAGTTTCTCTATTTAAAACCACCACCGTCACATAAAAGGCTTTATAAGGAAATTTAAAAAGGTAATATTAAAAATATTATCTTTATAAGCTTTAGTTACTTTATATTTAATATCTATAAGTAATATTATAATAATTTATAATATTAAAAAGATATTCTTTAATATAAATTAAAAAGGCTATTAAATAATAAAACAGTAGTAATTAATAAAGTACTATATAATCTAGCCTAAATATATACTATAATAGATTTATAAAAGAAAATAAATATTTATTATCTTTAATAATAACTATACTATTTAAAGAGTTATAAGCTAAAAGGAAAAGTTAAATAGATTAATAGCATTAAGCAGAAAAGCTTATCTATTAGAGATTTAATTGTAATTAGGATTAAGTTTTCAGTTAAATAAAGCTTCATTAAATAAGTCATAAAGGTTTTGAACTTAAAGGTCAATAGAGGACAGTGTCGCCTACAACCACTGCATGACTACTCGCACATTTGTACTGATATCCCCGAGACAACTGTTGTAGATTCGCTTATCCGCCGAGACCTTGTGCTGTCTTGATCCATGCGAGTGAGCAAGTGCTTACGAACGTCTTTTGGGCTATGTTTCGTAGCCACTTCCTTCGCATCTTCGCCGTTCTTGTTCTTGATGCTCAAGTCGCTACATCTCGATAGCACATCGATGACTTGTTTCTTGTTGGCTATGTTAGATTTCAGGGCGACCATTAATGGCGTCGATCCATCCTTTTGCTACGCGTTTGCGCCGGCAACTCTTTTGCCATGTTGACCTAGGAAGAGGTACTCCAGCATTTCACATCTCCAACTCGAGCAGCTGTGTGTGCCGTAGTCATGCCAAATTGATCATGGGCATTGACATCCAGGGCCTCGGCCCTTAGGTTTCCGAGAAGAAGCTTTGCGACGCGTCTTCCTTGAAAATTCGAACTTTGGTACAGTTGAAGACCTGCCTTGCCCGTACGATCAGTCGCATCAGCCTTCGCAGCCTTGGCGAGAAGAAACTTCACCGCAACGTCTTTGAGCTTAGAACATGCCATGAGGAAGGGCGTTAAGTCCTGGCTCCCATCTTCCAAACGGACCCCTTAGTAGAAATGGCCATTGCTCATCTCATTACGGTTCTTGGACTGACCTTCACTGGCTGTAGTAGCTAGCATGACGGAGAGAGAGCTCCACACGGATGTCTGGAAGTTCTATCAAGATACTTCTCAAATTCTAACCAGCCTGCGATCTTATCCCACCGAGCGAGAAGTCTAAGATGCAGCCGCGGCGTGGCAGAAAAAGGACAACATCGAGAATGCCATCCGCGACGCGGTTCGAAAGGGCAGCCCAGATAGCGGCAGCACTACAGACACCATCATACCCCTCAATGCCGCCGAGAAACGCGCTCTGATAAACGAGATTGACCATTCGTTCTCTGAGAACGGGATGTGGATGGTCATCTTCACTGTCAGCCTGAGTGCCTTTCTCCAGGGCTTTGTACAGAGTAGTCAGAACGGTGCAAATCTGTTTGCTGATCAGTGGCTTAAATCTCGGAAGCATACTGTCAACTCCCAGTTCGCTTATGCCAACGCAGCTGTTTAATTCAGCGCTGCTGTTATGTAGGTAGAGTTCTCTCGCAAGTCATGTCTTGGTAGCTGACAGCAACAGAGGTTGTCCACTGGCTGCACTGATGAGTTCACTGTTCGGTCGCCGTGGCGCCATCATTGTGGCCTCATTCCTCATCTTTGTGGCATCCGTTGGCTCGGCTTGCATTACACTCAATGACAATGCGTGGCTGTCTCTTGGGAGCATCAGACTAATCGGCGGTGTCGACATGGGCTTGAAGGCTACTAGCACCCCCATCCTCGCAGCGGGAACGGCAGTTGGCTCGTGGAGAGGCTCTTCAGTTCTGTTATGGCAGCTATGGTGGGTCTAACCTCTCCAACATCTCGCTGATATGATGACTGAGAGGCTTACTTGTTAGGGTCTCTTTTGGCATCATGATGTCTTTTATTGTCAATATTTGTTTGAACCAGATTTTCGACAAAAATCTAAAGCTCCGTTTGATTCTGGTGTCTCCAGCAGTGTTTGCGCTTATGCTGATGTATACTGTCGCCGAATGCCCCGAGTCATTCCGCTACTACTTGATGCCAGGGTCGAGAAAGTATAGTCTTAAGAAGGCATATGCCTCGTTGCAGCGATTGCGCAACACCAAGGTCGGTCACAACACTAATACACATATCTTTTGGTATACCCCTTCTAGCTGCAGAAAGCTTTCCTTTGGCCTTTCGTGACACTGTAAGTTGGCTTTGTGTTGTGAACGAAGACAGATAACCAACATTTAGAACAGGGCGCGTCGCTTGCAACATCCATCAATCTTCTATTTGCTGGTTTCCTGGCACGGGTGCAACCCCTACTAGTCGCTGGTATCAAGTTTGGGGGAATATTTGGAGTGTTTGCTGCCTTGAACGTCGTTGCCTTTGTTCTCATCTTTCTTCTGATGGAGGAAACCAGCGGCGTACCTCTTGAATCTCTAGGATCAGTCTTCAACCAGCCGAAGAAGGATCTAATCCACTTCCAGCTCTTCAAGTTTCTACCATGGTTCGGTCGATTCATTCTTGGTAGGAGTAGTATTGCCGAAAGACCAGAACGTACTGTCGACTTGAGTCCGAGCTCGGTGCCAGATGCTTCGGTCACTGATGATGGTGAGGAACGCATTTGGAGTAGCGATACTGTTTCAAGTGGGATGAGGCTCGCCGATATGTCAGGGGAAAACGGAAGAGGCTGATTCGTGAGTCAGCACCTGGAACATAGGAAGATTCAGAGGAGTATGTAATTGAAATAAAATATTATCGCATGGCATGAGGCATCCGCGTCTTATAGTAATTAACAATTGAACTCACAGTCACCTCATAGAGTTAATTAGGAGATAATAATTACATAGAGAAACAGCCACTACCAGAATGCAATGAACTTGGTCTCAATGCTCTCTCTCACTTCTTCCTTCTCAGTTCCGGGCAGATGAAACGAACAGTGGTGAACCCCTCCCGCGATGTCACTCCCCTCCTTCTCACTCTCGGTGTCCATGATCTTCATGAGGAGAACCTCATCCGGAGTCTGGTCACTGATCCAGTACCACTTATGCTTTGGATTAGCCTTGGTCAGTAGTACATCCGACTCAAATGTCCCATGCACCCCCGGCGGGTTACGCCAGAAGCTCACGCCGTCTACCTCATCAGCTGTCCAGTAGTCTACATAGGCCATGGGATCCCGCTTGACAGGTTTCAGTGGACGCCAGGTAGTATACAGGGCCCATCGTCTGCCTTGGTAGTTCTTTGCTCTGCCCCCTGGCAGTTTTGCAGCCTCATCGCCGGCCTTGATGATATCACCGGCCTCGTCAATGAGCTCTTGGCTCCAGTTCCGGAGAGTATTCCAAGCACCGGCTGGACCCCAGTCCTTATGAGGCTTTCGCACTGGGCCTTCCTCCTCTCCTTTCTGAAAGCCTTTGGCCCTCGTAGTAGGGAGCTCATCAGTTGGTTTGGCTACCTCTTCTTTAGAGCCGCTATTCGACTTGGAGGGCATAGGGTAGGGAGGGGCGAGCTCTGGCTCCTTGAACGGAACGTTCCGAGAGGAAGCAAGTAGAATCATGACCTTCTTGGCTCCAGTGAGAGACTTTGCCAGTTCAATGATTTCAGGATCATACACTTCCTTGCGAACGACTGGGTCTGTCCACGACGAGTGATCATACGGCGGAGAGCCTACCGCCGAGACATGTTTGACCACTTGGAAGCCGTTACCGTCTAGGCTAAAGGACGAGACTGAGGGGCGGATATCAGTCACTGCCACGACCTGCTGGGTGCAGTCTTGGAGCGTAGTGACACCAGCGATTGGGGAGGTTGGAAGAGCCGGTCCGCTATGGTAGGCTATCGTAGCGGTGGTATTTTTGACAACTGGCGATTCAAGGGGAGTATCTTTATGAGGCATCGTGACAAGGTTGATGATGGTGATAGGGTAAATTTGATTTGAGAGAAAATTAACAAATGGTAGTGCAAGAAGATGCACGTTGTGAAAGAATGCAACGCTGATATCTCGCATCTGACTCCAAGGCCATTGAAGCACTTTAAATGTATACTCCTTTGCCTAAGCTATCAATACAAGCTATTTGCTACGCTACCAGTACCACGACCTTTATCAGCTGACAAACACCTACCGGCTAATATCTTCCGCTTGTTCGGCACGGAACTTCGTCAGGCCTCATTTGAGTGTGTTATCTGAAAGCCGAAAATGAGGCGATGTAGTCTGCCGACAGACTGAATTATTTGACGTGTCGCTTATATGGTTGTACAAGCGCCATGTTGATAGCTAGCCGTGTGGTTGCAATTCCGACCCCTGGGTGTACCCATGGCATATGCATGTAACCTTACAGATTGCGACGCAAGACCCCCTCTTTTCAAGGTTCACTACTACAAGGGGCCGGCCCAGATCGCCGGAGTAACTATGAATGCCAAGCTTATGCATAGTGAGTATTAGGAATGCCCGAGAAGGGGTTTCTTGGTTTATCTTGACCTCGGCACATGAGCAACGCCACGCATGCAGAACCTTCGAACTATTTTCCATGAAGGGGGAGTTGACTCGAAAGTGATGATTCATGAGTGTGGATTCATTCGAGATTGCAAGGGTGTACTGTTAAACCCTCCGCGGCGCTTTGTAATAGCCACGATTCAGGGTCAACCGTGTCCCCGGACTAAGAATGTCTTAACGATTTCTCTTACTCTTGCAATTCTCTTCTCTGATAATGAGATTCAAGTCACAGAATAATTGGGATGTTACTCAGTAATGAAAATGTGCGATTGAGTTTGACTCAAGATAGACATGTCAAGAAACCTAGGAGGAATATTGCTCACCGCAAAGTTTGTAGACTTGATCCTAAACTCCCCGGATGTCACTTTGAAGCATTCTGGAACGAGTTTTGATAATAAGTGTCAATTTGGAATCACAAACTAGGAAACGCAAAGTATCTCAATCATATCTATGATACTGTTTATCATTCATCTCTCAGTGACCGCTTCCTGACGCACAGCCTGGCTCTCGGATCGGGTATCATGTCACTATCAATAGTGATATTCCGCGGTCTTCCTTTCCCATCTGGCAGCTTGAACTCAAATTGTAATAGGAGGATCGCCAAAGTCAGTTTCATCTCATTAGATGCATAGAACCGCCCCGGGCAAGCATACTTCCCGTACCCAAACGCCATGTTACTGGAATCAGTCATGGAGAAGAGATATTTCTGTGCATAGTTTGAGTCTGAGCGGATCTTTGAGTATCTAAATCCATCAAACTCGGTTGCTGGGGCCGGGCCTGGGACATGTGCTGAGTCCTGAAGCATCGCGTGAGAGGGAACCGCAATGCGAGTGCCTGACGGGAGTTTGGTGCCGTCTGAGAGTGTCATGGGTTGGTGGTAGATGCGATTGAACGTTACTGAAGGTTTCAGTCAGGTGCCAGAAGAGCTCAAGATGGAGAAAGGACCTACAGAGAAACACGGGGTTGAAACGTTGGGACTCTTTGAGAAAACTGTCGAGTTTGTGAAGTCGATTCAACGCCGTCTTGTCCCAACCACTAGCGCCAACGACGCCTTTGACCTCATCTCTAAGAGGCTCGATATACTCAGGGTGAGCACACAAGTCATACATAGCATGAGTCATCGTCATTGCGGTGGTGTGAATAGACGCGAGACTCAGGATAAGCATCCGCTGGGCAATGTTGTCAATCTGTTTCTCCTCCCCTGTCGCAGCATCCCTCATCCATGACAGGATATCCTCGTTGCCATCACCTTGCTGGGAGCGAACAATGTCTCCAATAACTCTTCGACCTGATGAGACGTTGCGAAGTAGTGTTCTGTAAGAGGGTAGCAACGGAGCTACGAATGGTCTTAGTATATGGGGCACAACTCGGAGAATAAAGCCGGTTATGAACAGGCTCTCACTATACTCTGCTGTGGTCGTCAACCATTCTTGGTTGCGACAGTGCTCTGGACCGAGGAACACTCTGGCTGAGATGCGTGATATGAGCCTGACCATGATTGACGAAATGTCAACTTCAATCCATTCCTCATCTGAGAATCATCAGCATTTATTGATCCAGTTTAAAGGACCGAGAAAACCTCACCTTTCATGTCAGGCATCTCTTTTATTAATGCATAGTCAAGTTCCTCCTTCATCACCTTTGTCAATGCCACGAGTTTTGGCGTCAACCGCTGCTGAATAACACGGTTCTGCAAATCACTTTGTAGAAACACCATGCCCCGTGTATACTGTCCCGCAAAGTCATTGATGAAGGGCTCTACCGAGCGAGTCTTGTCTTGGGACAGCTTTCTCACTTCATCAATGTAATTTGGGGGGATGATGATGATGTCGGTACCAAGCTTTCGCACCTGAAAGATGGTGTCTTTGAACTATACCATAGATGAGACATGGTTACGTGGCTGTAGGAGGGATCGCTTACTTTGTTGTAGCCTTGGCTGATGATAGATCCCCCTTCCAAGACAAAGCGCAAACGGAGAAGCCATGTAGGCTCAAAGGCGCTGCGGTATCCTACAACAGGCACTTTGACTGTAGAGGAGGACGATAGGACATGGATGACATAAGAGCATAACCAAGCGCCAGAAGCCACGTAGACCAACCAGTGAACGTCCATCAGTGGTATCTTGTCAAGACCCAAGACGAGCTGCTGGAACAGCGTCTCATGGCTGGTATTGTTCATGCTGTAAGACTTATTCATCGTGTTATGTTGAGGATAAATGGGATGCAACAGAAGTTGTGAAGGAAGTTGACTAGAGTCAATGGGAAAGATTGTGGGCTATGAGTTTACTCTATTGCTATGACTTCGACTCATTGACACTCGACCAAGTCTTGGTCTCCTCTCCTGACCGTCATAGATAACCTTGCGCAGGATAGTTTCCTTGAAGAAGTAATCGATTGGTTGCAAAAGGTCTTTGCGCACGCAGCCACAAATAGCAATCGTCAACAACCATTTCACAGATGTGCATCGGTATGAATATCCCCTTTGAACAAACCGCGCAATTCAGGCGTTTCGGACCATCAGAACCGCTGCCACTTCCCACGCGTATCATGTTTCTCCACAGGCCTCCAAAAGTTCCCAACAAAACTTTACCCCCCTGCTCAAGCGCAAGAATGTTCCTTGGTGCCTATACACCCTCGCCTTTGAGGCTTCACTAGGCTGAGACATCCGGCGTCCGTTGCTCATGATCCTATGATTGATAAGTCCCCAGGGAGCTATCACAGGAAGGTGTATGCATGAATGTCACGGTAGCTGCATCGGCCGTCTGTGCGAGTCCGATACGTTAGCGCCGACCCCCGATAACGCCAAGACACGGCATTTGAAAAGGGCCTAGATCGTGGAGTTGGTGATCGAGACACACGGAGTATCTCTTAGATCTTGGGAATACTATTCCGGTATGCGGCACGCAGGCCTGTGCTTTGTCCTCGAGAACAATGGTGCCAAGGCGGAAGGGCGAGGTGGATTCAGCAACGATTCATATACAGTTTATAGACTCCGTATAGTAGTCCCCTAGACCTTAATAATAACCCTCTGCTGTTGAACATACACTTATCACCAGTCTTAACATCTTTTGCATTCTATTGTTGTCACAAAATGACGAACCATTCTTCTTCTTACTACTTTGAGTTCTACAAGGACCACTCTCATAGCGTCCTGAAGTCAATTAGTGAGAAACCACTCATATTATCATGTCTCATCTTGGGAACTTGTGCCGTTCTGTTATGCATTCAATGGCTTAAACCTCAGCCATTGATCATGGTCAACGGTAGAAAGTTTGGCGAACTCTCCAACGTCCGCGCCAAGAGGGACTTTACCTTTGGGGCTCGGCAGCTCCTAGAAAAGGGCCTTGAGATGAGCCCTGACAAGCCATTTCGCATCATGGGTGATGTTGGCGAGCTGCACATCCTGCCGCCAAAATATGCCTACGAGGTTCGCAATAATGAAAAGCTTAGCTTCACAATGGCAGCGTTCAAGGTGGGGAGCTCATAATTCATGATTGGGGAAAGTAGCTGACAGTTGGGAATAGTGGTTTTATGCTCACCTTCCGGGCTTTGAGGGTTTCAGGGAGGGTACCAACGAGAGCCACATCATGAAGCTCGTCGCGCGACATCAATTGACTCATCAGTTGACTCTAGTGACGGGAGCAGTCTCTGAAGAGTGTGCCTTGGTGTTGAAAGATGTGTACACAGACAGTCCAGGTATGATCCATGCGTTGCTTGTAAGCGAGCCAAGGACTAAATCAGTCTCGCAGAATGGCACGATATTACCGCCAAAGACGCAAACATGAAACTCATGGCCCGCATCACCTCTCGAGTATTCCTCGGCAAGGAAATGTGTCGAAACCCCCAGTGGCTTCGAATCACATCTACCTACGCCGTCATCGCCTTCAGAGCAGTAGAAGAACTGCGTCTCTGGCCAGCGTGGCTCCGGCCCGTAGTCCAGTGGTTTATGCCGCACTGCACACAGTCTCGAGCGCTCGTCCAAGAAGCAAGGGATCTGATCAACCCGCTTCTTGAGCGGAGACGCGCAGAGAAGGCTGAAGCGGAGAGAACTGGGGAGAAAGTCACCTACAACGATGCAGTTGAGTGGCTGGATGACCTTGCGCGCGAGAAGGGCGCTGCGTATGACCCTGCTTGTGCCCAGCTCTCGCTCTCCGTGGCTGCTTTGCATAGTACTACTGATTTCTTCACGCAGGTCATGTTTGACATTGCGCAGAACCCGGAGCTTGTTGAGCCTTTACGCGAGGAGATCATTTCTGTGTTGGGAAAACAGGGATGGTCAAAGAACTCGCTGTACAATCTGAAGCTCATGGACAGCGTCTTGAAAGAGAGTCAACGGCTGAAGCCCATAGCCATTGGTACGTACCCAGGCCCTAAGTTGGGCTGCTAGCACGCACTAACAGACAGTACTAGCAAGCATGCGCCGATTCACAACCCACAACGTCAAGCTATCCGATGGCGTCATCCTCCCCAAGAACAAACTCACGCTTGTATCAGCCCACCAGCACTGGGATCCAGAGCACTACAAGGATCCCCTGAAGTTCGATGGATACCGCTTCTACAACATGCGGCGCGAGCCGGGCAAGGAGAGCAAAGCACAGCTTGTGAGTGCCACTCCGGATCACATGGGTTTCGGGTACGGGCTTCATGCCTGTCCCGGCCGGTTCTTTGCGTCTGAGGAGATCAAGATTGCACTGTCTCATATCCTGCTCAAGTATGACTTTAAGCCGGTTGAGGGGTCGAGCATGGAACCGAGGAAGTATGGCCTCAACATGAACGCCAGCCCAACTGCAAAGTTATCTGTCCGCCGAAGAAAGGAGGAGGTTGTGATTTGATTGCCGGGGCTGGAATGAGTGGGGGTTCTGTGATAGGGTTGAGGGGTCAAAAAGAGGCTTCAGCCTCAAGGCCACAAAGGTAAAGAACACCAAAAAAACACACACGGGCAAAATACTCATTGCCCTCACTGTTGCCTAGGATCTAAGAGCGGGGGTTCAAATTGTACTTAGCTACCTATGAATGAACGCATTTGACACATTATCGGATTCAATGGCTGTGACGGCAAGTCTCCTCCAATGACCCTGTCTAGGGTGACTTATGCAGCCGCTACCCTGTCTAATTAGAGTGCTGTGTCGGTCTAGATCCTCTTAAGCGACGGAAGGCGGCGATCATTCTGTGACAGGTCTATGTGACCCTGGGATGGGCCGGCAGCATAGCGCTTCTAGAGTCCGTGCATACATGACCGGCCAAACGAAACAGGCCATTGGCTTCCTCGTATCAAGATCAAGGCCTTAATCGTTGGGTGTAATTGACGCCTGTTCAGAACTGTAAGTGCCAAATGCATATGAGCGGAATAGCAACGATAGTCTATTAAGCGCGCCAATTGTGCAGGTTTTATCTGTCTCGGTATATTTCACTAATTGATATCTTAATACGTCATAATCGCTTATCAGCTTCATACTGGTAGGCGAGAAGAACTGTGCGGAATATGTTGCATCCAGTGCAACCTTGCCTACGCTGCATTTAGCCCAAACCTTATATCTCCAGATGGAGGGAGGGTGGTATGCATATACGGGAGCACAGCGATAGGCCAAGCACAAGTGTCGACCATATACTGCACTCCTCTTTTGTATATTGGAACTCATTCCCGTTTTGACACGGCGCATCTGCTAGTCTCAACCTGGATATATCGAGAATTACAAATTAGCACAATTGTCACCCGACACCGTTGATTCGTCTATGACCCTGTTCAGTTCCCTGTTTCAGCTCCCCCTGTTCTCAGACCCAATTCCTTTTTCGGAGTTGTGCATGTCTTCTAATATGCAGCTACGAAGGAAAGCAACCGACGGGACAAAGACTCGAGGTTTTAGATCATGTACCCTCAATCGGGCATAACACCGCCATTCTACCCCCCGTTGCGGAAATCGACGCTGCGTCTCCACCACAATTAAAGTTTCTCCGGATATTTGTTCCTAGCGAGTTCTATCAAGCAAGCTTGGGAGGCTGTGTTTGGCACACCAGGGGCTAGTGCACTTCAACCTGCATGGTCATTTGGCGGCCTAGTCCTTGTTGAAAACTGGCTGCAGGAGTTCGTTGATGTGTCTTGATCGAGCTTGGAAATCGCCTGGTTTTCGGCACGTCTGTGTGTCACCATCGTCTGATACGTGGCACATCGGGTTCTGCTCCTGACCCGTTTGTATCTGAGGAAGGGCAGTTGTTGCAAGCTGAATGCGTGTCTTTCGTGTCTCTCTTAAGTCCGAATCATGATTCCAAAGCATACAGAGAAGGTCATAGCGTCTCGAGCCATATGTCCGACGTGCTATACGTCACTCCATGCAGTCGGTGGTCGATTTCCCTCGTCAGTGTTCCTCTTGAGGGTCCTCTTGATGCCCATCCATTTCTCCCAGTCTTTTGCTAAGATTACAACCTCCTCTCACAGACTATCAAGCTTGATTCCGTTTCTTGACCATCCTCTTCAACCACAAACAAAATGAGCATCCTCAATATGATCACCAACTATGCTGGTAGCCAACTTTTGCCCTTCTACATCGCCATATTCGTCTTCACTTTAGTCCCATGGGCAATCCGCTTCTCTTGGCTAGAATTGCGCAAGGGTTCAGTGGTGCCACTTGCGAACCCGCCCGACTCACTGTTCGGCACCGGTAAAACCAGGGTCTGACCATCTATTGACGAGACAACCAAGCGGAAACTGACTTTGTCCACAGAGGAGTTTCGTCAGGCTTAGCAGAGAGATTCTCGCCAAAGCGAGGAGCTTGTTCCCTAATGAGCCATTTCGCTTGATTACGGACTGGGGTGAGGTTCTCATTCTCCCTCCGGACTTTGCAGATGAGATTCGAAATGACCCTAGATTGAGCTTCTCCAAGGCGGCGATGCAGGTAAGTACCCCCAACAACACCTTGGATTTCTGGAGCGCTGAAGATGAAATCTCGTGCCACAGGATAATCATGCTGGAATACCTGGATTCGAGACTGTTGCCCTGGTCGGTCGTGAAGACCAGCTCATACAGAAGGTTGCCCGAAAGCAGTTGACCAAGCATCTTTGTGAGACCTTTCATCTCTAGCGGGTGAGGACCACACACTGACAACTAGAAGCCGCTGTCATAGAACCTCTGTCTAAAGAGTCGACCCTCGCAGTGTCGCTCAACTTTGGGGAGACAACAGGTAAGTCACTTTCTGATGCACATCAGCCAAGAGCTTTCGCTAACCCACCACGAACACAGAATGGCGAGCGATACGCCTCAAGCCAGCAATTCTAGACATCATCGCCCGCATCTCATCCAGAATCTACCTCGGCGACCAACTATGCCGCAACGAAGCTTGGCTGAAGATCACAAAGACATACACCACCAACTTCTACACTGCGTCCACCAACCTCCGAATGTTTCCTCGATCGATCCGTCCTCTCGCCCATTGGTTCCTCCCCGAGTGCAGAAAGCTTCGTCAGGAGCGCAAGGATGCAATCGGTATCATTACGCCCCTGATTGAGCGCCGTCGTGAGCTTCGACGAGCTGCACTCGCGGCTGGCCAGCCTCTGCCTGTGTTCCACGACGCCATTGACTGGTCGGAACAGGAGGCAGAAGCTGCAGGCACAGGGGCCTCGTTTGACCCGGTGATCTTCCAGCTTACGCTCTCCCTTCTGGCCATTCATACCACGTATGACCTCCTCCAGCAAACGATGATTGACCTTGGTCGTCACCCAGAGTATATCGAGCCTCTTAGACAGGAAGTTGTTCAACTTCTGCGTGAAGAGGGATGGAAGAAGACAACGCTTTTCAAGATGAAACTCCTTGACAGTGCCATCAAGGAATCTCAGCGTATGAAGCCTGGTAGCATAGGTACGAACTTCTTTCCCTCATTCCTCCAACTACCACTGACAGTCGTAATACAGTTACCATGCGTCGCTACGTAACCGAAGACATCACGCTCTCCAGCGGTCTGAGTCAGTCAATCCTCCATCCCACCGGCATTTCTGACTAACCCTTTGACTAGCCCTCAAAAAGGGGACACGCCTCAACGTCGACAACAGACGCCTCGATGATCCCAAGATCTACGAAAACCCCGATGTCTACAACCCCTACCGTTTCTACGACATGCGCTCTGAAGCCGGTAAAGACCATGGGGCACAGCTCGTATCAACTGGCTCAAACCATATGGGCTTCGGCCATGGCCAACACTCCTGCCCGGGGCGCTTCTTTGCTGCAAATGAGATCAAAGTAGCGCTTTGCCACATCTTGGTCAAGTATGATTGGAAGTTGTGCCCTGACACAGAGACTAAGCCTGATACAAGGGGGATGATTGCCAAGTCTAGCCCAGTCACGGATATATTGATCAAGCGCCGGGAGTCGGTTGAGTTGGATTTGGAAGCAATTTGATTCGAGGAAGCACTGTGACTTGCTGTATGTTACTCTAGCTACTAAACTGAAGTCATATTGCCGAGATCCTCAAGTCCGTATGTAGTTTAATAATTCAGTGCTTACATTGTTGGTTCCTATCATAACCTTACAATTACACAAACCATGCACTTTCGATGTGCGACTTTCATTCCGTCGACTTTCGGTATAACAAAAGGGCTACTATTGCAAAGTCCCCTGGCTTGATTTACGTATGCCATTGCCCCCTCGGATCCACAACCCCGTCCTCATAATTACTCCGGCTACTCCAACTACCCAACGCCCCCTCCAGTATGATTCGTGCTCGGGCATGTTCGCTCGCGGAACCGGGTGTAAAGCGCTAATTCAGCCACGCGCTGAACAGGGAGCGGCACACACACACACACACACACACTCACTCACTCCAGGTAGCATTCAAATTTGTAACCTCATGAGACGGGATGTTCTGCATCTCTATCACATCCGCTGCCGTTTCCGAATACAACTGCATGTTGACGTTGTACGGCAGAGTTGCAGCCAACTGTCAAACCTGCAATACTTGATTCTAGAGTCTAGACCCTGACCCGCTTTGTAAACGAGTGCCAGAATAAGTCCGGCACTTGATGTGCCGGCTTCCAACACCAATTCTGCTAGTCTTTCGCCGGGGTAACGAAGATTGCGAATCCTTTGCAAAACATGTGATCTTTGATCAGACCACTGCATATCCCTATCACCGCGGTTTAGGTCTACAAGGCAAGCCTAGCGCGTCGATAGAGGCCGAGGTACATCTGGAATCTGTTATTAGATAATTTAGGTAATTAATAATCAGTCCGTTTCACGCATCTCGGCTAATAAGCAATCGTACGTTTGTTTGTGGGTACTGAAAGAAGCTGCAGAAACCGAGCATATTGTCCCATTTAGCAGTTGCACGCCATGAGATAAATTCCAAATTATGCTTCTTTATGGCAAAATGAAATAAATCAAGGAGGCCTAATTGTAAATATGCACAGTCTAAGTTTCCAGCTTCAGACGCTCCACCAGGGCCTTCAGTACAGGGTTGTCCCTATTCATGCCAACTTCCAGGCTTCCAATCTCGGCTAGAACTCTTGTGTGCAGCATGCCAAGCAGTGCACTCGTCCAGTCTAAGCTACCGTTAACTTTCATCACTTCCAACACCAGCATCTTTTGCTGTGCCGTAAGCTTTCCCTGGATTCGCCTCATCGATAAGATGTTTGTGAGAAGACCACTAGAGTCACTTTGCAGAGCGTGCATCAGAGTCAACGAGTATTTCCCCTCATCCAGGTCCTCACAGAATCCTTTCTGATCAGTATACTGTGAATGCTTAGCAAAGGGTCTGGGACATAGTGGAGAATGGGTGAAAGTGCCGAGGGGTGGATCTCCTTTACTAGTACCCGAGGAAGAGAAGTGGGCTGTGGGGAACAAACCTTGTTGTCAATGAGATTCATGTAATCATCTCTGATCTGGAAATACTGCCCGAGCAGTGAAACAACGCTACTGAGAGACTCAAGTGTGCTGTCACTGATAGACGCTTCAGAGTTCAGCGCTAGTAGTTCAAGGGATAACCTGAACAGGGCACCAGTCTCTGCAGTAACGCAAGTTAGTCTATGTCCCATCACAATAAACAGGGGAATCTTACTGTCATTGACCATCAGAAGATATTCTTGGATAGACGGAACAATGGTATTAGCAGTCCACCACAGGTCCATTGCCTGACCCTGGAAGATCGTGGTTATGGTACCGGTCACATCTGCCAAAGCATCTTGACTGACGATCTCCTGTATTTTCTCGATAGCCTTGACGATGACATACGTTGCTGTGTTGATTGCTTGGGCTGGACCGAATACAGTATGTGTAGATGGCTTGCCCCGCCGAAGTGGGGAGTTGTCTTGAAAATCATCGATTCTGGAATGTCAGTCGGTCTCCAGAAAGAGCAGATTGGGATACCCACATAAGGGACGAGTTATGGAGCATGCCAATCACCTCTTTGATCACCGAGGTCTTACTATCCGGGACATCAAGCCAGACATTCAACGAGTCAATGAAAGCCCCACGGATACCCTTAGAGGGAAGAGTCAGGATGTAGTTGTAGGGAGAATCAGCAACCTGGATATCTAAGCAAGTCACTATGAAGGGGTGAGGGCGACGTAGACTTACCTTAAGGCGCTGTGACTTCCACCTGTGGTTGGAGTCCGAGCTCATAGCGGTTGAGAAGCATAGCTGGGACACTATATCCGGCGAGGCTGCATTGTGAGAGAGAGGAAGGGAGACTCGTCGCTCATCATAGCGAGATAAGGAACCGCCTTCTGAAGAGGAAGAGTCTGGAGGAGTGTCTCTGTAATGGAAGGAATCCGTTACCTGAACCGTAATCTCCAACTTCTGGTTTGCATGAAAAGCGTCAAACATTGAAAGAAGGTTGGAAATCTGCTGCTCAGCCATGATAGTATTTGAGATGTATACGTGTGTAGTGTGAGATGAAAGGGAGTCAACTGCGAGGAGGGATACAAGAGCGAAGAGTGACGTGAATATTTGTCTGATCGATTCAAGTCGAGGTGAGATAGAGATATCCGATGCAAACAATCGTGCGGTTCCTTTGTCCTCCATGGCTAATCTATCCCGCGTCATCATGTCTCAGAACTGCGTGCTAGACTCTCCCCCAAGACGTACGTGCATATTCTCGGCGCATTAGCTGCACCATGTCAAGTTTGTTCACGAACCCGGATTTGTTCTTAACTCCGGATACGCAGACCTGCAGAAGCGCCCGTAACCACTACCTTGATTAGAACGAGATTCTGTTGTTGTCTGTTTACTCACCACTGTATCAAGGTCCTTCGGCATGCATATGCATAGATACTCTTCCAGTCAACAGGGGGGTGACTTAGAGCTACACCTAGCAGAGTTGTCGTCACCCCAGGGGTATGGTCATTGATATACACCTGGTGGTTGCAACATACCAGATTTGACGTGTCTGAGCGCCGGGAATCTATTTCCAATCTGCAAACCCAATCTACATCCCAATGGGGGGAAGATGGAGCTTACCCGGCTCTGCCGTGTCCATGGGGAGAATAGGCATACCCATGTTTTTCTGCTTGGTCTTGTTTCCTCGATTAAAGTAAAGCCGCCTCAGACACAACGATGATATCCCGCAAAACATACAGAACAATTACTTTCTTCTCTCATCAACATACACTAAGGCTTATCACTACAGTAGATCTGAAATACTTACACAAGATGCCGTACGTTTGAAACACAACTTTAGCTAATGCATATTCTAACCTATACAAGTGGCAAAATCGAGAACGGTGCCCCCAAAGACGCCAAGACAGAAAATGACTTGGTCTCAGCAGCGAAGTCGCTACTGGACCGCGCCTTCAAGAGCCATCATAGCTACTATGGCATATGTTCCACCAGCTGTCAGGTATATGACACTGCTTGGGTGGCCATGATACCCAAAACGACAGACAATGTCAAACATTGGCTGTTTCCCGAGTGCTTTCACTACCTCCTAAAGACTCAGGCTACTGATGGTAGTTGGGGTATCCTCCCAACGACCCAGACTGCCGGCATTCTGGACACTGCTTCGGCTGTGCTTGCGCTCGTATCTCATGTACGAGAGCCACTGCAGATACTGGACGTCTCGCCAGACGAGATGGATCTCAGGATCGAGCAGGGAGTTGCTTCTCTGAAGCGACAGCTAGCCGTCTGGAGTGATGTTGAAGAGAGTAACCACATTGGTGTCGAGCTCGTTGTACCAGCTTTGCTTTCCACGCTTGAAAAAGAGCTCGGCATGTCATCTTTTGAGTTTCCTTGTAAAGATATATTGAAGAGGATGCATGAGGAGAAGCTCAGGCACTTTGACATGGAGAAAGTGTACGGCAAGCCATCGTCAGTATTACACTCACTCGAAGCCTTTCTTGGAAAGATTGACTTTGATCGTGTTTCTCACCTTCTTTACCGTGGCTCTATGATGGCTTCACCTTCTTCTACAGCCGCCTACCTGATTGGTGCAACCAAGTGGGATGATGAGGCTGAAGATTATCTCAGACATGTCATGAGAAATGGTGCTGGTCATGGAGATGGTGGTATTTCGGGGACCTTTCCAACAACACATTTTGAGTGCAGCTGGGTGAGTGCTCTAGTGCTTTTCACCCTTTTCTGCTAAGTTTGGTTATAGATCCTAGCGACACTCCTGAAGGGTGGCTTCACTTTGAAACAAATCGAGGGTGATGGCTTGCGCGGCTTGTCAAATATACTTGTCGAAGCGTTGAGGGACGAGAATGGAGTAATTGGCTTTGGTTAGAATGCCCCAATTTCATTATCGTACCATGGAGACTAACTACAGTACAGCACCCCATACTGCTGATGTTGATGACACGGCAAAGGCTCTTCTGGCATTGAGCCTTACCAATCAACCTGTCAGCCCAGATATCATGATCAAGGTCTTTGAAGGAAAAGATCACTTCACCACGTTCGGATCTGAACGTGATCCCAGCTTGACTTCCAACCTCCATGTGCTGCTGAGTCTCCTGAAGCAGCCCAATCTATCGCAATACTACCCACAAATCCTGAATACCACGTTGTTCATTTGCCGATGGTGGTGGGACAGCGACCATTGCGTCAAAGATAAATGGGTAAGTTCTGCTTCCCAACTAGTAGAATCACTCGCTAACTATTCTAGAATTTGAGTCATCTATACCCAACCATGCTTCTGGTGGAAGCTTTCACCGAGGTATTTCATCTCATTGATGGTGGCGAGCTTTCTGGTCTCTTTGACGATAGCTTCAAGTGCAAGATCGGCCTGTCAGTCTTCCAGGCTGTACTACGTATCGTCCTCACCCAAGATGACGACGGATCTTGGAGAGGATATCGCGAGCAAACATGCTATGCCATTCTAGCTCTTGTACAGGCACGCCATGTATGCTTCTTCACTCACATGTTGGACAAGCTACATAGTTGCGTCGACCGTGGCCTTTCGTGGCTCAAGTCCTGCAGCCTTCATTCTCAGGACCTCACTTGGACGTCAAAGACGGCATATGAGGTTGGTTTTGTTGCTGAAGCCTACAAGCTAGCTGCGCTTCAGTCAGCAAGCCTAGAGGTGTCCGCCGCTACCATTGGCTATAGCACCACCTCGGCAGTTCCATCATCTGATCTGGAGAGGTACATGATGCTCGTGCGGAAGACTGCTTTGTTCTCGCAGCTGGATGAGTGGGAACTCAGGGCGTCGATCATTGAGTCTTCGTTCTTCGTGCCCCTTCTACAAGCCCAGCGTGTTGAGATTTATCCGAGGGATAATATCAGCATCGACGAGGACAAATATCTGTGCATTATTCCTTTCACTTGGATCGGATGCAACAACAGAAGGCGGGTCTTTGCATCTAACAGATGGCTTTACGACATGATGTACCTATCGCTCCTGGGCTATCAGACCGATGAGTATATGGAAGCTGTCGCTGGGCCGGTGTTCGGTGATGTCTCTCTGCTTCGCCAGACCATCGACAAGATCATAGACAACGCAAGTGAAAACCTGGCCAGGACCAATGGTACGGCGCACATTGGAAATGGTCATCAGCACGAGTCACCCAACATTGGACAAGTTGAGGATACTCTCACTCGCTTCACCAATAGCGTGCTCAACCACAAAGATGTTCTGAATTCGAGCTCTTGCGATCAAGACACTCTTCGCCAAGAATTCAGAACGTTCATGCACGCCCATGTAACTCAGATAGAGGACAACAGCCGCCTCTCCAAGCAGGCCTCTGGCGACGTTTTCTCTTCCCCAGAGCAGTCGTACTTCCAATGGGTCAACAGTACAGGAGGCAGTCACGTCGCCTGCGCGTACTCATTCGCTTTCTCCAACTGCCTAATGTCAGCGAATCTGCTCCAAGGCAAAGACGCATTTCCCTCCGTCACTCAGAAGTATCTCATTTCCTCTGTCATGCGTCACGCTACAAACATGTGTCGTATGTACAACGACTTTGGGTCCATAGCTCGCGATAACACTGAGCGCAATGTGAACTCGGTGCATTTCCCAGAGTTCGCGGTATGTAAAGGAACGCCGCAGAGTCTCGACGAAAGGAAGGAGAGACTCTCACAGATAGCTACGCATGAGCAAGGCTGTCTTGATAGTGCTCTAGAGGCTCTGGAAAGACAGTCTCGGGATGATGCAGGTGATCGTGCTGGTTCTAAGGAGTTGAGGAAGCTCAAGATTGTAAAACTGTTCTGTGATGTCACAGACTTGTATGATCAGCTTTACGTGATCAAGGACCTTTCGAGCAGCATGAAGTGAGGGAATACTATGGAGCTGGTAATTTTGCTGTGTACTGTTCTCTGGCTTATTTGAGGTCACATAGTTTGATTAAGTGCGTGAATGGAGTCTCATTTAGCTACCTGAGCCTAGTCTTAAGTGCTCACAAGACTGGAAGTCCATCAAAGCTTGGTCTGTGTGACATGGAGCATTGAATACAGGAATCTCTCCCGGGCAAAGAACTTCAACATTCGGCGGGAAATTCTCTTTTCAGCAAGTCAGGCAACTCAATTTGACCATCTTGTGCCACTGTACTAATCAAAGCTTCGTCACCGTCTGCGTCAGTGGTGTAGGATCTCGTATTCAAGACGTGTCCCCTAATGCATGACGTATGGTGACAATCGGAAGACCAGAGAACAATCCGTAGAACAATGTCACGTTGCATATCGTGATATCCTTCTTCCCAAGGCCACTACATGCACACCTGGCGCCTACGTTCTGTTTCGGGGTTACTACCCTATCTCCGTGCCATCACAGCGGCTGAATGTGAATACCGATGCATGGAACTTCTGGGACCTCTTAGCGCGGACTGGTGACGCCTGAATACAGCTGGTAAGGATCTAGAATTACCTTTGTCATTTATGCTAGATATCTCCGATAGGTAAACAATATTGTTCCGTTACTAACCATTCACCCTTTGAAGATTCATCTATACGATCCTGAAATTTCTCTGAACTATGATGAGTAATTTTGTCACGTTGATTGAGCCTCTGGAGCTCACTGGCTCACGGGTTTTGCGTATCGCCGTGGCGTTCGCCGCCCTCTGTGGCGCTACAGGACTGTTAGCATTCTTATGGTGGCTCTACAAGCAGTCTCCGAGGGAACGGATCTTGCCATATCCCGTAGTAGGCGATCCTCACGCACAATCGCTAGAGGAGAACCTCATTGAGGGAATGCAGCAGGTAAGTCATGTGAGTTATGTTTTTGCTTGTCTCTAATTCATGCAGTACCGTCACTCGCCCTTCGTCTTGGCTGGATCACGCCCACCACTGCTCATCCTACCAATGTCCGTCTTTCATGAAATACACAACATGCCAAATGAATATATTTCCGTCATTGCGGAGCATGAAGACAAGTTTCAGGGCAAGTACACCCACATCACCACCGTCAGACCTGAGATTCCCGCCACTATTCGTCAGGACTTAACTCGAAATATGCCCAGTATTATACTGGAATTGCAGGATGAGTTGGCATATGCTTCTCAACAGTGGCCTAGAACAAGCAATTGGACGTCTGTATCGTTGTACGAGATGATGCTCAGGACCGTGGCGCTTTTAAGTGGCAGAGCGTTTGTTGGTCTGCCCCTTTGTCGCGATCAAGGCTGGCTACAGGCATCCATAGGCTATACTGTTCATTGTGTTTCAATTCGCGATCAGCTTCATACGTGGAGTCCTGTGCTGAGACCAATTATTGGCCCATTTTTACCCAGCGTCCGATCGGTGCGAAGACATCTTCGCTTCGCAGCAGAGATAATGGCTCCTTTGATCTCGCACGTTTTGCAAGAAGACGAAAACCAACATAGAGCAGATGCCCCACTGGCGGATCAGACAAAAGAGCGAGGGACTTTTATCTCATGGCTTCTTCGGCACTTACCTGAGGAGCTTAGAACCCCAGAGCAGGTCGGGCTTGATCAAATGCTGGTCTCGTTCGCTGCAATCCACACTACTAGTAAGTATTGAAACCGCAATATTCGTTTTACTTTTCTGATCTTGTTACCTTGGTAGCCATGGCCCTCACCAAAGTAGTATGGGAGCTTGTTAAGCGGCCGGAATACATCGAACCGCTGAGGGCCGAGATACACGACGTGTTTGGACCTGATGCCGGTGCAGTGGACATATGCGTCAACAAAGAGGCTCTTTCTAGGCTCCATAAATTGGATAGCTTCATTAGAGAGGTCCAGCGCTGGTGCCCTTCATCTTTTGGTAGGTCTCAAACACACATCCAAGTTAATACATGAGATACTAACTGAAGGGTTCAGTTACCCCAAGTAGACGTGTCATGAAGTCAATGACGCTATCAAACGGTATCAAGTTACAGAAAGGGACTTCCATAGCATTCCCCGCCCACGCAATTCAGTACTTCCTTGCTCTTTCTTTGGCCTTCTATCCCTGTACTGACTATACAATAGCATGTCAGAAGAAACACCAACATTCTCGCCTAGCTTTAGCTCTGACTTCACGAACCCGTCCCCTCTCATATTCGACGGGTTCCGGTACTCGAATCTCCGATCTGTCAAGGGACAGGAGTCGCAACACCAGGCAGCCACTACAGGCCCTGACTATCTGATCTTCAACCATGGAAAGCATGCATGCCCTGGAAGGTTCTTTGCCATATGTGAAATCAAGATGATACTCATAGAACTATTGGCGAAGTATGACTTCAGACTTGCAGATGGAGAACCAGGGCCTGAGCTTTTTCGTACCGGGACGGAGACTCGACTAGATACTAAAGCTTGTCTCGAGATAAGAAGGGGGTGAATAGGGAGACGCTACGAGATTGGCTTTTACTCTGAGAGGGAATCCTGGAGGAGGCTACGTAGTGGCCTAGAAGAACCCAGTAGAGAAAGGCCGCAGGTGTAGATTAGACAGTTACCAAGATTGTTAAACCGGGCTTTCGAAGTGGATATGTACTTAAAACATCAACTTCGAAAAGGCGTAATGATATTGAACAAGTGCAAGTACCCAGCTATTATCTAAAGCCTTGGTGTCTCAGCCCAGCGCTGCCAGCTGGGGCTATTACTCAGGTGCTTCATTGCTTCAACGTCCAGTGTGATCAGCACCTCAAATTTGGTGCTATCTGTTTCTGGTAACACCAGTCCGGAGCCAGTTCCAAAGCCCGCTTGTGCTCTACGCACAGCATCTGGAGCGACGCCCATCGCAACATCTTGTTTGTCAAAACCCGGTAGGTCCCAGTGAGTCCGAGTACCAAAGTGCCGCCAAGTATTGAGGTAAAAGTCCAGTGGATCACTCAGGTCAAAGTCAAGCCCTATGAACCGCGGGTCTGGGACCCTGCGAAACAGAGCAGTGCGAGAAGCCACGAAGTCGTCGTTGACGCTGAGAATAGTCTCATCGATGGCACGTGCCATAGTTGCTAGGCTAGAGTAGGCAATTCCCTGATCCTCACTGCATGCGGCTGAAATAGTTGACTTGTTAATAGAGGCAATCGGAAGAGCTATGGCGTTGCCAGAACGGGGGCCAATGGCATCGGTGGATATACGTCGGCGCCAATCGACAGAAACCATAAGTCGTGCATCTTCGGCAAGAGTCGTCTCGGATGACAAGCTGTCTATACGGGCTTTGGTGGCATGAGCCCATGTAAGGGCAGCGAGACATGTAAATGTTGAAGGCTGGTGTTTCGTGTCGCTGGGTCGTGTGTATGCGAGTTTGTCCTTGAGATCACGAATAGTCTTCACCCGAACCACAAAGATACAGCCCGTGTTCTCTGGTACTGTGTCTTTTTCCAGAGCGCGAAACTGCGTTGGGCCGAGAGGAGATGGAAGGAGTCGATACTCAGGGTAATGAGAAAGTAGCTCGTTCAAGTCTGCAACTGGCGGGCTGGGGGCAGCTGCAGGCGCTTCGCAACTCAAACGGGCTAAAACTGTAGTATCCGACGTCTTTTTCGTAACCTTGGTAAGTTCGGCAAAGCACCTAACGACGATATCCATACGGCCAGCATCAAAGATAGAATGGTGGCCGTAGATGCCAAGAAGCAATCCCCCATTTATAAGACGGACATGTACTTCAAAAGCCGGAATACCCTCTCCCCCTTCTTCGAGTCGATAGCTTAGATCGAAAGATGTATCGACGAATGCTTTGGCTGGAAAGCCTTGACTCTTGAGCTGACTGTACGTCCATCTGAACGAAGCCCTCTGTTCGAACTTGAAAGGAATATCGTTTACACCACTCGTACTAATGGCCAGATGGCCGGGTGGGTCCGCTAGGAGAAATAATCTGCCCTTCAAATCCGGAAACTTTTTCGATAATTCTGATAAGGCTGCCTTGAGATGTTGCTCGAGGCAATCGAAGTTCGTGGATATTCGGTAAGGTATACAATACCATAGGCGTATATATGCTCTTGGTGCTATTTGGTCCCAGATATCCAGTGTTCGGCATTCCATTGTTATCTGACCTCCAACGACTCTGATAAAAAAGTAGAAGAGTGGCGACAGACAGTTTGGCAGCGCGTGCTGTTGGAATTTCTAAAGGTCGAAGTTGCATTTGCTAAATGGCCTCGACGCGATTATGTAAACATGGCGGTCAGGTAATAAGCAGCCAAGAATTATTCCCGATTGCAATTAGTAGTGACAGAGAGTGACTCGTAGCGCTTGTGCAGGTGCACACCGCCACTCTCTACGGTAGTGCTGATATTACACAATGAGGCTGAGTAGTGCGCTCAACAGAAATAGGTAAGAGCATTGAATTCTTAGAGCGATGTTTCTCGTTACTTGAAATGTAAGTCTTCCCACTTTCCATCTGTCGCACCTAAGAGTTCCCCATCCATGATTCCATGCACATATGCTTCCCCAACGACCGAGTAACACTCTCGTCTTTCCGCAATCACTCTCCTTACCACGAAAGGTACGCGCCCGCCAGAAAGAAGAACCACTTCGTCGCCTGGTTCAGAGGACGGATGCGCGAGACCAAAGTACCCTTCATTCGTAAGAAATAGTCTTCTGTACCAAGACACATGGTGCATAGTACTTTCGTAGAGACCACCATCTTGATCCAAATCATCATTCCCGTGATATTGATCCTTTAATAGGCGAAGAATCGAGTCGATACCTGGTGTAAAACTCGGACTCTCCCCAGCTGCCTTCAGAACATCAAAGGAACTCGAAATGTTTTGCTGGAGTTCCTCCCGAGCTTGCAAAGCAAACGCAGCAAACTTGCGAACCCAATCTTCACTGACTGGGTAATGGTTTGTTCCCAGGCCGATGTTCCCGATTAGAGTGCGCCAAAAGGCGTCAATCATAGAACAGGTCTTTCCATTGACGATTGGGTATGCGGCACTGAAATCGACCATACTCGCCCACTTCTCCAGTGTGAGATAGATGGACTCCTCTGCTATTGAACCTATCTTAGATATCGTATCAACTTTGTACGCTGAAAACGTCAGGATGTTCGGATCCGCAGGCGAATGCTGAACACTGACTTCTCGTCCTGTCGCAGCGGTATACAAGGTCAACCATCCAGGTCGCGGTGGCATACAGAGAATAGAGGCAACCTGATGTACGCTGTAGTCCGGTACCCAACTTGGAAGCTCAGGAATCTGCCGAAACTTCACATCTTCGACACCAGAAAGGATGTCAAGGGAGCCCTGGCGGATGAGATGAAGAGTGACATCTCGAAAGACTTCGACAACAGACTTTCGATAGTCTGGTCTAAGTGCCAGTGGTAGCACTTCTCTTCTCCCGCTCTCTGCTAGATTGATCAGTGCGAATATTTTATCCACTGGCTTCGTAGCTTTAAACCGCCGAGTCGACGCCAGCAAAAGATCCAAGCTCTGACGCTCTCCTTCCTGATGACGCACACGACAGTTCATCATACCCGTGATAAAACCTGCTGCACCAGAGACATTATACATCTGGTGAAAGACTTTGATCCATGAGCTCTCAACGAGGAAAGTCGCGGCTCTCCCAACAACATCGAATGGTAGCATCAACAGTCCGCAGAATATAGCTGTCTTTCGTGAGACTGAGACTTCCTGGATTATCCAGGCTCGCTGGAAAGCTGTTCGTGAGATGAACTGCATGAGAGACCCCCATATCGGGTTATCATGCTCTGGTAGGCCGACTGCCCTCATAAATATGGGGTTTAGGAGAGCGCTTATCCCAGGGCGAGAACCTTCAGACTCAAGGAGATACGTCTCCAGGCGATTCAAGGATGATAAGAGATCCAAAACTGCCTCTGCATTCTCCCCGGGTTCGCCAATCCAAAAGATATCCATAGAGGCACGCTGGTAGATCTCACACATCTGCCCTATCTGCTGAACGCACTCATCCTTGTCCTCTTGGTTGATGCATATCTGATCTATCCAGATGATGCGCTCGCCGGCTGTTTCGCGGTAATTTTGGAGGAAGTTCCAGAGATTCAGGCTGACGTTGAGATATTTATCGTTAATCAACACAGGCCGGAAAGTCTTGTGCAGACTCTCTTCGTGCCATGTATAGGATAATGCAATGTATCGGGGTGGTTCTTGCGCAGCGAGATCGGCATCAAACATCTTGCAGCGAAGAATATCTTGGCCTCCATCTGATAGAATCTGAAGCAGGCGGAAGCTAGTAGAGCTTGTGAGACTCTGGTATGTTAATTTCTGTATGCCTTGGGGTACTTCAAGAGCTTGATTATCCACGCTTGGGAAGATCTCCGATGCGCAGATCGGCTCCTTTCGAGATGTAGAGCGAGATGACATTGTGATATACCTGGTTAGATACTCTTCTTATTGGCTCTTCCACCTTGCTATACAATATATGAAGTTCGAGGCTGGTTCAGTGGGTTAGGTCAATAAGAGCTGCTTATTTACTACTATGTAGAACGAGAGTTGGGTGTTTTACGGGGATTTCCAAGGACATAAATGACAACGCAGACCACTTCCTCTGACAAGGCATATTCTTTTCTGCGCATATCTGTGATTTGAAGGAGTGAGATAATGCCTTACCCCGCTTTGCGATACTGAAGTGTTTGGTTTTCAGCCTTGGGGCCACAGGCTTCTTCTAATAGGCTCTGTATGTCCACCAGTACTTCCCCGGATCATGTGCAGCGAGACGCATTCGGTTAGATATAACTCCAGAGCATCTTACGGGCGATAGAACTATCGAGTTCGAGCAGGTCTACCAAAACGGCCAGTAATAGGGCTTTGAAATCACACTTGCGGCGAATCATCCGTACTACGCAAATTCGCTCATGTGGTGGAGGAATGGTGGTTTTGATGGCACCTGCTCCAGAGACGACAAAACGGCTGTCCCCGCGATGACCTCCCACTGCCTTGGGAGCTAAAAGGGCAGGACATTGGCTAGCATCAACGCAGACATTTGGTACAGCGTCTGGTCTGAGCATCAACAGCCAAATGTGGAGATGGGTAGGTGAAGAGGCAGAGTCGTTGACTATTTACAGATGTAGGATAACGGTACGAAGCCGAATGGAATAGAAAGAGAAAGATCCGGTGTTATCCATCCGAAACACAATTCGGAGGAGCAATATTGCTGATCATGACTTTTAGCGACAGAGCAATTAGGTTATAGTGGATGGCTAGCGTCTGACCCCGCTATGTGACAGGGGCAACTAACCTGCGGAGCAGTGAAATTATGGGGCATTTATCGCAAGAGCAGGTTCACTAGCCTGAGGAGCAGAGTTGGCTTGTAGGGCATTTGTCGGGAAATCTATGGCCCAGATCACTCTGACGTATGGGATCTTAGCATGATTTCCCTCAGCTGAAGCAAGTACCAAAAATAAATCAGCCGCGTCTCAACCAATTCAACTCAACGTACCCGATTCAATCGCATCTGACACCTCATCTTCTCTACCCATCTGGTGCAATTAGCTGGCCGCAGCGTTTGTCGCAAGAGCAAGGCCACTGACCTGAGGAATTACAGGTGCAGATTACGCAATGATTTATGTTTTTGGATGTGACATTTGCATCGATCAGATTGAGACGGTTGTGTGAACGGAATACCATCAGACCAATCATCTTAGTCCAAACGTCTTGGGCAACCCGCCAATTGTGTGTAAACAACATATCGAAGCTTGCACGGTCTCTCCAAACATTAGAAACAGCGGTCAAGATTACCAAACTCAGAAAGACCTCCGTCGCCGCGCAAGAAATTTGGTTGTGCAACCTTTTATATTTACCATCGACTATGAGCCGTGTAAGCAAACGGATGAGGACGTCTCCCCCGCGGATGCACCATAACGATCCGGTCCAATGGAATCAAACTTTCAGTCTCAGCGAAACGTTGGTCGTTAACTGCTAAGCAGATCCGTTGGTTATTGCAGAAAGATCCACAACAAAAGAGACAATTATGGACAATGCCTGTCCAGTTGTCAGTGCATAGTGTAACTGTTGTAAAGCCCTATCTACGCTAAAATATGCATTGACCCGGTGGCTGAGATTGACTGGTGTTGGCCGTTATTGACGACGACATGATGAGCAAACAGGGAATCTAAATCCAAAACGTTGCCATACGTGCCGCAGCACGCGATTGTAAGCATTTTAGAGGCTTCCACCACTGGGCGCTTGATATGACGGGGTTTGAGCATTTCGTCGATAAGATCCGCGACGGAAGCAAACGGCAGCGTGTAGCGCTCACATCCGCTCCATTTTCCTTCCGTTTACTATCTACTGTGTGTTACAGTAACTGCCAACTGTCCGTCACCGGGTAAACAAGCCACAGGCGCAGATACCCGGCTAGATGGGTTGAAAGTCGGATCATCATTGGCTATTTGACCTGTTAGACGGCGCACGGGAGGGACCCTTGTCAACAACATCTTGATTGGATAAGACATGGATCAGGCTGCGAGTCAAATCTCTTGCCATTTCCTCAACTTCATTTTTTACCCTCTCACTATTTAGAAACATCGTTTCTTTACTGTCTGGATGGACATATATTTATCTTGATCTTACTGGCAGGGACCCGCCACAAATACACCAAGTTAGTTTTCAAGGGCGATCAACATGGCAGACTCTCTCGCGGTAAGACACGCCGCTGCTCTGAAACTCATTGAGGACTTGACATCGTCACTCAATGACGTGGAACCACTAGGAGATATCTCGCGTGCTCAGGCGGATTACGATGCTGCAGAGGAACGACACCGTCGTGAACAGGACCCAGCGCGGAAAAGGGCTTTGTGTAGAGAACTGGTCCGATACGGAGATCGCCTCGAGGAGATAGAAATGCAACACAAGGAAGCCGAGGCGAAGTGTAAGGAGCAACTAGACCTCTTCGACACCAGGCTAGCCAAAGAGGGCTACCGGAAGCTGGCTACTCGTGCTTCTTCTAATACTGGCACCGATCAAACAACCCACCAGTCCTCTAATACGTCGGGAAATCTTATCCAAACTCCAGATCCCAACTACGGTCAACTTTCAGGGTTCACCAACAACCGAGCAACCCTTGAGAACACCGAATCGCCAGGAACCCTTCCCCAGTCCAGCACTATTCGGAACACGATCGAGCCCAGATTAACCCCATCGCGTACAGACAGTGCAGCCCCGTCAAGAGGTTTTTCGACAGATATTGATCAGCAAGTGGAAATTGAACCGACTATTCGGACAGATCGGTCAAATCAGAGACACGACAATCCCTCCTCCTCTCGGCCTGCAAAACGCCAGAGACAGGGCGCCTCAAGTGAAAATGTCACAGAACGAACGACCACCTTTGACGAGGTGTACCAAGGTGGTAAAGCTCGGTGGAAATACAGAATTACCAAGATCCATGGACTACACTATATCTTTGGGTGCGAGAAGCACGAAAAGCATTTTGGCAAAGAAAACCCGCTCCAATCTGCCATGAGTCACCTGAAAGGCAAGGGACACTCTTGTAAGAGGCCTAATGCTACTCAGGCGCTTAGATCGCTTGGGATCCAAGTTTTGCCCTGCACCGACCGAGACCTCGAGCTGAATAACAAGGCTGTGGATCGTTACTTGGCAGAGCAGGAGGAGAAGAACAAACGTCGCAAGGCTTCGGTCAAGGACTTATCCCAGGCTCCCCAGACTGGTGAGATATACATGGCTTGGTTCGGTGACGACGATAAGGGATACTGGCTGCACGCCTTTTTGGTCATCCCATTCTTCCCGCGGCCCGGCGATGGTATGGATGTACAATCGGTTACGGGGTCAAACCTCAACGACGATATCCCTGCTTGCTATAGGTTCGATGAAACTACTGATGGGTATAACTGGACTGAGGACTATAAGGAATATGGCAAATATGCCAATAACAGGGTTTATCCAATCATGTGCCTCGTTGGGCATATCCCACACAAGGTGGACTGGCTCCCCGTCTGTCACTTCAGAAAACTCAATCTCGAGGACGAAGACCTTGAAGACAAGGATGTTATCAAGGCGTTTATGCGGAAAAACACGACGGGCAAGTTGTCGTTGACCGAAGTCTGTTTTTATTTTACTAACCAACTGAGCACAGGATATGTAAACGAGGTTGACGATGAATCTGAAGATCTTTACGGAGATAGCCTTGCGGGAGATGACGATATACCGACCTCTAGCGGGCGTAGACAGAGCCCCATCGGCAATTCTTCTGAGAACAACAATACAGATCAAAGTATCCAAACCGGGGCGACAGCAGAGAACCAGGAGAGCAGAACGCTTGGGCCGAACCTCGCGACACAAGAGGTAAAGGACGAACCAGCAACTATAGGACGCCGAGATGGGGCTACAAGTGCGGCGGACCAGTCCGCACGGGCACGCCAGATGTCTGTTCGGCGAAGATGGCCATCTGCACGAAAGGGTCCTCCCGACATGGAAACTGTGAGTGACAGTGAGTGACGCCAAGAATGGTTTCAGCAGCATCATGAATAAAGGTACTTTATGGATGAAAGCAGATGAAATGCATATTTGGTTCCGTATGGCATATGTAAATACTTGGAGGGGAGGAAGAGCAACGGGTATGTATTTATCTAAGGGCCACATGTATATTTACTTGCAACCTTCTTCATTTCGACGGATACCGTTCGCTGTACGGAGGAATCTAAGGCTCAGACCTAGCATCTTCAGCTTCCCGTCTCCATTTTGCGCCCAACTTCCATTGGACAGCCAAGCTCACCAATGCAACACTCTGCACTGCAACAAAGACTGTAAACGCCAACCCGACGCCGATTGAGTTGATCAGTGGCATAACAAAACTCGTACCTCCTGCTGCGAATAGGCATCTGGCGAGGTTCAGGCTCGCGCTGGCTGCGGCGCTGCGGTCGTGAAAGACATCGACGAGATAGGTCATGATGACGGACTGCATGGAAACGGCAGACCAACCCGTGATGAAAGTTGATACAATTGGAATGGCAATATGAACCTGTTTGGGATACTGTATGGTCCAGCCAAAGAGCAAGATAGACGCACATTGAAGGAGGGAAAAGACGGGGACGAGACGAAGGCGTGCTGTCTCCAGTGGGAACTCATTCTCGTGATCCTTTCGCGTGTTGACAGTTTCAACATCATCCTCCGTGTTAATGCTCGCATTGCGTGCATTATGCCGAGCTTTGAAACGGCGGTAGTCCATGTTCAGTATCTTGCCGGTAATCAGTGTTCCCACCATGGATCCCACGCCGTTGGCGATGAATGTCAGGCCGATCTCAGTTTCTGTGAGACCATATTTATCTTCGAAAAGACTAGACATAGCCGTAATGCTCATTTGCCAAACCGCATAATAGACTGCTAGGAACACAATGATGGGAGCCGCCTGTTTGCTGATGAGGATGCGGAAGGGTCCTGTGATATCGATGCGTTTCTTCTCCGTAGGCGATGGAGAGGCTGCTTCGTGACTCCATTTGACTTTGGTCGTTTTCTGATAAACGCGTAGAGGATGTTTGGCTATGACATGCTTGGGTTCTCGGCTCCCGTTGCCAACGATAGACCCCAGCGTTTCGGGCAAGAGGAGAACCAGGAAAATTAGGAACACGCCGCTGTAGATGGTCAAGAACCAAAAGATGGATCTCCAACCAAGGGATCCAGCCAGCGCACCTCCGATAATCGGACCAACTGCCACGGGCACCAACAGCCCTGCCTGGAATATTCCCATGAGGCCACCGCGATTATCTCGGGTTGTGATATCCCCGATAACACCTGATCCTATAGCAATTGTACTAGCACTACCAGTGCTCTGAACGCATCTCAGCACGACCACAGTCGCGTAGTTCTTGGCTTCTGCTAGTCCGATGCATGCTCCCAAGAAGACAATGAAGGTGAGCAAGTATGCGACCCGACGTCCTTTGACATCTGATATCGGGCCCCAGAGACTGGGTGCAAGCCCTTGGAAGATGAGATACGAAGTCACAGTGAGATTGATCAATTCAATCGAGACGTCGAGGTCTTGGGCGATGGAAGGGAGGGCGGGGAAATAAATATTTGACGCGAAACCTGAGACTACGATTTTATTAACAGGAGAGTTTGAGTTTGAGGATCAGATGGGAACTTACATGTTGCTGCGATGGAGACAATTGTCACAATCAAGGCAGTTTGGCGTTTGTCGAAGATGCTATAGGGCTCTGGCTCAGGCAAAGGAGCCGCTGCGGTTGATTCTCTTCCACTCATTGTTTACGATGCTTGATATATAATTCGTCATTAATAAATATTATGTGTTATTGACATATTTGAGGAAGTGAAGTCAAAGCCACTGGTTTTATATTCTTGGATACCCACTTGAGGTCATGACGCAAGTATAAAGACTCCCGGAGTTCGGAGTTGAGGCTCCATAATAGTGGGGATGTGGCGTGCTCAGCTCCGAAGTACAACGGGTGGCCAGGTTGAACCGCCAGGTCAATAGGTGAAAGTAGCGGATTTAAGAGCTAACTCTTAAATGGTTTCGGGTTTTAAATAACTCTCTTATCTGATTTGTATTAATCAGACTAAATTCCACTAGTGTCATAATCTCTACCCTTTTGATTTGGCTGTAAAAAGTAATGGTAAGAGTTAAGATTGCAACTTGGCTACCCTAAACTTAACCAATCTCACAAATTGCAAATTGCTAGAAGCTGTTATCTACCTTCTGTAATGAGATTATCATGCCCTGGAGAATTTCTACGCTGAAGGAAGTTGTTATAGTATAACAAAAATATCACAATTGCCAGACATTGAATCCCAGGCCTCTTGCGAGGTTTTTTCTGTCGATTCAAACTCGCTGCTAAAACTGTGACACCCAAACAACACATCCAGCTAATAATTTTCAGGTCTCTTGCGGTATATTAAGACGAGCGATTCCCTTATCTGTTTTTTTTTGCGCACTACATACAGACTATTGCCAATATCTATGCACATGTCTTATTAAAGAATCTAGATCCAGCGCCATACTTATAGAGGCTTGGTGGCAATGTCTATAATCTTCCAGTCTGATAGGGTAGGGAATCCCCGTATACCCCGCAACGAGGGGAGGGCACGCGACAAGCTGCCATTCTCTTCTAACATAACACAGCAGGTAACTACCTTATACTTGTTTTACTGGCGTGTGTATACTAATAAAGCTACAATGATACGTATCAGGTAAGGCGTGTAGTCCACGTCAGCTCGTATACGCTGATGTAGATACCAAATTGACGCTTCATTGACTTCAAGATTGAACCCTCGCCAAAGAGTCATGCATTTTCAGTCCCGCAGACCGAGCTCATTCGTTTCCCAGTCACGTCTCTGGAATGGTCATGGTTCAGCTCTCATCTGAATATCCAATGCTTATGACCAGACAGCCCAAACTAGCTATCTGCGTAGTTCTCGACCCCTCATCCACGAATAGATCGGCTGATCGGCTGGCGGGAGGAATGCCGGGCTGCCGCAACTAGCTTCCTATGGAGGTCGTCAGCCAGCCACATCCCCACGCGGATATGTAGGCTGGCTGAGACAAGTTCAGCTCATCCACGTCTCTCATTCGTGCCATGCCGCTCTGACCCTTTTGTGGCCACGTCTAGACCGTAGCAATAAATGGCGTCTTTAAGCTCTCTCCTAACATAAAACCCCATCGTCGCTCTCATCTTCTTCTTAAACTAGTCATTCGGATTCTTGGGCTCTTCTACCTTATCTCTTAGACCGTTTTAGCACCATCGAGCATCTTTAACAACTATACACAATCGTCTAAGACACTATATCTTGATAAGATGTCTTCCGAATCATCAGTTAGTACTTTTACATTCGACTAGTTGGAATTAATACTTATGCATTAGCAGACAAAGCCTATCATCTATATGATCCGACATGGAGAGAAGCCCGCCGAAGTCGACGGGAAAGAACCAGATGGGCTGTCTGCTCAAGGTAAAAAACGCGCAGATGATCTTCCCAGTGTGTTTGGAGAAAGTTCGTCCTATAATATCGGATACATTATGGCAGAGCATCCTCACCATGGTTAGTGCCCCCAATCATATCTTCCTTTCATAGTTCTAATTCAAGTAGACGGTAGTCGCGACCGCCCTTATAAGACTGTGGAGCCGTTGGCACATGCGCTTGGGTTGAAGGTCCATAAGAAGATTCAGAGAGACGATTACGTCGACGCTGCAAATGAGGCCAAGTCCTTTGAAGGTCCAGGAAATGTCCTGCTTTGCTGGGAGCATAAATCCCTTGAAGGCATCGCCAAGGCGATTGGTATCCAGGGCTATGCAGCACAGACCGGGTGGACTGGCGAGGTGAAGTATCCTGGCGATAGGTTTGATCTGATTTGGGTTGTGCCGCCGCCGTACACCGAGATCACCGTGGTAGGAAGTGAGCTGGTTCCGGGTTTGGATGATGGAGTTCATGTCAACGCCAATGGAGATGTTCCCCCTCCTTCGGCTGACTGAGGCAATCGTAGCACTATGAAACGTCTTCCCCCAAGGTAGTTCCTTGCAAATCAACTTTTATATAAAGCTCTCCACGTTCTAGGAAATTTACAGTAGCTATACCAAACCCGACTGAGGCGACGTCATGATGGATGTCAGCGTCGTTTAAGACTTTATTGGACAATCGCTATCTCGATTGGAAGGTCTGAGAGGCGATAGTCCAGTGAGGTCCGACGTCCATAAAACATAAATCAAATCAAGTCTCAAACCACAGACTGAGCCCAATCTCCTGTATCAGTCAAGCTTCATCCATTATACCATTAACGCATACAAGCCAGCACGTGTGCCACAATGCCTGTGTCGGAGAACTCACACAGATGATAGCTGGAAGTGCACTGATTTGCGTCTCTCTCAGCGAGAGGATCGTTTCCTGGCTGAGCCAATACTTGTACCTCACTTTCTGGCATCGACGGCCTGCTTTTGGTGAGAACTGTACCGCGAGGTAGTAGAAGGATACTTATACGCGTCTGGCTGATTATCGTGATGAAGTTCCTCTTAAATACGGGCTGTATGATGTATCTGGTGTCCAGATCATGCCAAAGTGATGGTGGGCTGGCTCCTCTCTAGCTTTTGTTGCTTCTGTTGAGCCTAGAACCTCGGTCCTGTGTAATCTCTAATATGGGGCAGCGATAGATAACGTATGTTGAGGGCATGTACCAGGGCCTATAGGTGCATCAATATTGTCTTTGATCATAAATCGGTATAACGATAAAAGCGATTGTTAAGTATAACGAGAAAGCCACTGCTAAAGTCGTGTCCCATAGCGCTGCTTCGAGGGGCTTGTGGATCAACAATTCCTCTCCTACCGGTATCGAGATTAGAACCATCAACAATGGTTCTATCCTTTAACTGTAGGCTTCCCACCCAGGGGCTCTGTCTATATCCACCTCACGATCTCTATAGACTACTGCATCTTGCAGAAAGGCACCAGTGATCTTGTTCTGGGTGATGGAAGCAAGCCATCGGTGGGCGAGGGAGACATCGTTGTGCAGCAACGAACTATGTAAGCACCGGATGATCCTACCGATTAAAGGGTTCGCTTACTGGTGGTTTTACTTGCGACAAAAGCGCCTATGGTCGCTGGAAAGGAACTGAACCTTGGTGCATCATCCTGGGCATGATATACATGGTATCGTATCGACCTCAATCGTCTTGGCACTACCAGGGTTGCAGTTATACAACGAGACAGAGGCAGGCTAATATAAATACTGGGTATTAATGTTGTTAACTATTAACATTGTAGATGTTATCTACCTACTGCTGATATATAAGTACAGAGAAGTAAAAGTGCGTCTAAGATTCTATGCAGCATGGTATTTCAGCTCTAGACTAAGGTGCAGTTGGAGTAACAATAGTGGGAGCTCGATCCACGTAAATGTCTACAGGCACTCGGTACGACACTGCCAAGTCATCAGCACCGAGGTACACAGTATAGTCGGAGCTAGTGCTGATAAAGAACTTGGTCCAATGGGCCTCAGTCGAAACAGTACAGCCTTGGCTGTCACCTGGTCCATTGGACACACAGTCCAACTTCACGGCAGAGCACTGAAGAGCAGTACCAGCCGCAGGATTTCGCGCACAGGTGAGGCGAGCCGTGCCATACTGGTAGTACTCGGTTGAACAAGGAGTCAAGGCGGCGCTTCTATCCATGAAATGGTACTTTGCGCAGACGGGAATGCCATCTCGGGTGAGGTATCCGGTGGTGTCATCGATGACGAAGCGGCCGACTGTCCACCTTGATGAACGGTCACCAAAGATGATGTAATCGCCATTTGTATTCGTCGATTTCAGGGGGAGGCCTTGGGCGGCGCCTTGACCGGCGATGAGGAGATGGTCAGTGGGAGCAGGCTCTTCTGATGTGGTGGTAGTCGCCATGGCTGTAGAAGAAGCCTCAGCTGTGGTCGTGGTAGCTGCATACGTCTCAACAGCTGTTGTCTCGGTTGACGCGGCGGTGGTCGCCTCAGCAGAAGTCACTGATGTGAATAGCGTCGAGGCGGAGGTCGCCTGAGACGACGCCTCAGAAGCCGAGATAGTGACATCGGTAGTTTCGGTGGTGGCAGAGCCAACAAAAGTTGAGGCTTCAGTAACGGTGGTGTCGATCGCAGTCGATGTCTCAGATTCAACCCCAGTTGAAGTTTCAGTAGCGAGAGTTTCGACTGTAGAAGTCGCGGACTCAGCGAGCGTGCTAGAGATCTCGGTTACAGAAGAGGAGAAAGTTGCAGAAACAGCAGTTGAACCTAATTTATCTCAATTAACCTGTACTCCGACAAAATATTAGAGGTCAATCAATATACCTGAAGTCAACGGCTTGCAAGGGCCGGCAGCCACAAGCCCAAAGGCTAGAGAAAACGAGGCGTAAAAGCGCATTGCTAACGAAAGACTAAGGTGAGAATTGAATCGCCTACAGGTTCAAAAGAGAGACAATGAATCGGTGGCGGTCGAAGTGGCTTCTTATACCGTCAGGGGCTTGGCTTCTGTGAAGCTATTGATCTCAGCTGTCACTAAACCCTGTCATTTCCATAGCCGAGACAGAACTATCGATTGTCATCCACACGGGCTAACGGTGTTGGGGTTGATTTCTGTAGTAGCGCCCAATAGTCAACGCCACACGTGCCATTTTAATAACTAGCGTTATGCATAGTGAAATTACGACTTTAAATACTCCTGTGCCTGCGGATACTCCGGAGAGACAATGCAGTCTTGGACTCTACAAATTCCAGGAGAGATAATTGTCTGCTGCATGATGTTGTTGATATATCTCTACCTAGCACCTAAAGTTGCAAATTAGGCTAGCTTAGCTATAATATCTAGCGGTTCGTCGGAGGTTTTCACACCAGGCAACTTCAGCTCTCGAGCAGAATTCTTAAACCGTCCCCGATCCCCTTGTAAGTATGGTAAGGATGAGATTTAATCGAAGATTTGACGGCGAAATGGAGAGACCAGTCATTCCATGGGGATATCAGAGAGTCCATGAAAGGGCATTATGATTCTTTATCATGAAGCCAAACAGTCTGTAATTATTCTGAACGTATTCCGACAAGCACACCATCTTTCACAACCAATCCCTCTTCTTTAGTCTCCCTCTGATTGAACGTTCTTCCTATATCACAAAAGAAATCTTTCACGCTACCCATAAAGTCCCTCGGTGGCTCCTCGCCACGGATCATCCGCCCAACATCCTGATCAGATGCAAGGGTAGCTTTCTCCAAGATCGGCCTAACATCATCACTCTGAGATATCTGGGCCACAGTGTGCCATGCGTTCTCTAAGAAGCTTGACTCTATATGGGACAGGAAAATGGAGGCCATGACCAGGAAGATGATGATATTCCCAATTATGATGGCCATTAGCGTGACAAACCCCCATTTTCGAGCTGGCGCCTGAACAAGATCAAAAGTTGTGATTCTCGCTGGTTGTATCGCCTCAGAGTAAGATGTGATATGGTCATAGTATGCCATTCGCCACACAAGCGTAGTTAAAGCTTGTATTGCCAGGGCAGGTGAATTTGTCGTATTTATAATGTCGTTAAATATTTGCCACATTAGAGGACTGACCCTTACAGACTTAGACCCCTGCGAAGTAACATAGTCACAAGAAGAACAAATGGCCAGATCTGGGAAGGCCATGCCTGATAGCCAATCTCCTGTCTCATCCTCAGCTGTCCTTCCAGTTGTCGGGCTCCGGACTCTGCCTTGAAGACTCTGATTCAGCATGCTGGGAGATATATTTAATATCTGTCGCCTGGATGCCACTGCTGGGTCTTGGGTATTAACAGCGCCGAGCTGTCTCAGAATAGCAGGAGTATTATATTCATTCCTACTTTTATTGAATTGATAACCAGGCTCAGTCAGACTTGAAGCAGCGGATGCTGTTATTTCAACGTGTTCGACCCTAAACCGCGTTAGCCTCAACTCACAAAGGCAAAGCTCAAATACAATCCTTACTGCGATGTAAGCTCAGATCCTGTGCATAATGTTATCTGTATATATTCATCTCTTGTCTCAAGTCCACCGCTCAACCTCACACGGTTCCACTGTCGAGCCCATGGACCAGAATTGCTTGAGTTCAGAAGAGTCCAGGTAGCATTTGTAGGTTCTGATTCAAAAGGCAGCCTATCGCCTTCTGAGAATGATAGATCGGCCAACAGTTTAAAGCCATATTTTCCCAAAGATGTTGATACCCACCCTAATGGTGAATCAAGGGCAACCGCCTTACGCTCCCCAAGAAACTCGTTCTCGCAGAGTAACCACTTCCTCGATGTGGCATCGTACGGCCGTTGTCTCGGGATTTGGCAAATGAAAGACCTGGAAATCTGTTTGTCGTTCTCTCCGGGCATAGAATAACTCAAGCCAGTATCTGTATAGATATGATAAGGTGGGAAGTTCGATAAGTCTACTGTCGCATTCAGACACAAGTACCAAACCCCCCGTAGATTCTGCGAGCGACAGTACTTAGCCGTGAATTTTGGCCTCACGCATACCACATGAGTGTCAATAATTCGAGCAATGCCATTGAAGGACTGGATGGACTCCCTCTGAGCCTTGGTTGAAAAGGGAAGAAACGCTCTCAAGACCGTTCCCGTATCGTCCAACTCATCAGACGACACTCCAGGTTCTGAATATTCTGCGAATATCTCGGATTGAGAGGGAGCTCTATTCCAGTACTCTAGACCGTCTGTTCTTAGAGGTATAGGGGTCATCCCCCGGTACGTAGCCTCATTTATTGCTCCGAAAGTGAATCCATAGCTTATGTTCTTCTTTAACGATAGAATGGTAACTTTTCGAAGATCCGTAACGAGCAAGGTTGAAGCGAACTGCGAGGCCGTAACGAGGACAAAAAGGCAGATCATGAGGATGCGAAGCCAAGGTCGGAATATTGTACCAGGAAGCATTCTCTGGAACGATTGCGGTCCGCTGTTTGTGAAGCGAGCAATAGATACTTCTGCGAGAGCTGACATGGGTACGCCATGAAGTTCCAGTGCAATTGATGCAGCCATAGATATCGTGATAGCAGCGAGAGTACCGATGGCCCATCTTATGAGAACACCCATCAACGTGATGGACTGGGTTGCGCGTCCACCGAGCATGAGTCGTCGCCAAGACTCTGATTCCCTGTCCTCGAACCAGAGCCATGTTAAGAATACGACGGCTTCTACCAAGATGACAAAGGATGTGGCGATGGCTAGCCAAACACCAAAGCCTATCGTCATTGGGGTGTCGGTTGGCCTGCTCGAGACAATTTGAGGGGTTGAAGGACCCTCTGATTGATGGCTCTGAAGGCTTTGCATTTCCGAAATCTCGTCGTCTTGGTTTTGATCTAGGCTGTCATAGTCAGACTGACGCAAATGGACTCTGGAGGAAGATTGACAACTCATGATGAAGAAGCGTAAGCCGAAGCGTGCACTAATCAGAGAGATAGAATATTTAGAAAATAGGAATTCTCAGTACCCCGGGACATTACTAATAGCCATCTTGAGAAAAATAAATCGAGCACAGAGGCTTAGCTGTACTACTGTCACACAATTACACATACACCGTATACGAGAACACATCTTGCGAATAGATTGGTCTAGAGGCGATCTGAGTTGTACAAAATCAGCAATATTCTCAATTGGCAGTCGCACAAGGTGTATTCCAGGCCGTAAGCATCAATACAGCCTCACTGAAGAAAAGTCTGCGAATATGCCTCGGGGCATCATCAACCGAAGGTGAGTCACACCATGAGTTTCTGATTCATTGACCAAGTTTACCCCGAATGATCGGAGGTATTTTGCGTGAAGAGCAGCCTATTTAGGTCTAGTCTCGCCATTCCTGCTGCGGGTGAGATCTTGAGACCTTGATTGGGACTAGCTTCCTTGGCTGTTACAACCTCATCAAGTATAAAATGCTGATCTATTATCCTCGGGTTCTGCTATCCATCACCAAACATCTCTCAAGTCTTTCATCAGTATCAATTGTTCTTAAGCCTTTTACAATGGAGTTCGCCATGCCCCTTGAAGAGCGTCTGTCCCTCCGCCAGGAACTCATAGACTCAAACGACAAATTCATCCTTAATCTTCCCAAAGTTGAACTCCACGTCCATATCGAGGGTACTCTGACCCCCGAACTTCGCTGGAAACTCGCCGAGCGCAATAACCAGACTTTGAAGCTAGAGCGCACTGGAACCGTATACACCAATCTTGAGCAGCTCAGAGCCTCATACTACATCATGGAGGCCCGTCCAGGTCATCAGATTGACAATGCGGAGGAGAGTTTCACTTTCTTTGAGGCTTACTATGGAGGATTTGAAGTTCTCGTCACGGAAGAGGACTTTTATGACCTTGCCATGAATTACTTTGAGCATGTTGCGAGTATGAATGTGCGGTACTGTGAGCCGTTCTTTGATCCGCAGGGCCATACGCGTCGTGGAGTGGCGTTCGAAACTGTGATGGAAGGCTTCCGTCGCGCACAGGAAGAGGCCGAGAAGAGACTGAACGTAAGAAAATACGACGTTGTATATGATAAATGCTAACAAACCATAGGTCAAGTCGAAGTGGATCATGTGCTTTCTGCGTGACATGTCACCAGAGTCAGCCATGGAGACCTACGAAGCTGTTCTTCCCCATCGTGACATGGTTGTCGGAATTGGTCTTGACTCAGATGAAAACGATCGCCCTCCTCTAATGTTCGAAGACGTATACAGGAAAGCCAGGAAGGACGGCTTCCGCATCACTACCCACTGCGACGTTGGCAATAAAGACGCACATAAACATATCCGCCAAGTCATCAATGACATTGGCGAAACTGGTGCCGATCGTCTAGACCATGGCATCAACGCAGCACAAGACCCCGAAATCATGCGTCGCATTAAAGAGAGAGGTATTGGAATGACACTCACGCCATGGGGATATCTTCGCCACGAGCCAGTTGACGAGATCTTTCCCAGAATTCGAACCTTGTTCGACGCCGGTATTCCGATTGCTATTGGAAGCGATGACCCAGCTTATATGGAAGATACATGGATCTTGCATGACTGGCTTCTTGTTAAGAAGATGTGCGAGTTTAGTAACAGTGACATGGGGGCTTTGGCCAAGAGTGCTATTGATATGTGCTGGGCTGATGATGCGGTGAAGGAAGAGATGAGAAGGGAGCTAGAGGAAGTTCATGAGAAGGGAGCTAGAGGAAGTTCTCGAGAAGCACTCAATATGAGTATCTGCTTTATTAAGGGAAGTTTGATGTGAATTGCCAGTAAATAGAACAGCTTGGCCAGTTTTCCTTCCAATGCCGGTTCCTTCATTGTGACTTGTTGAATTTCCGAGATGGTATGAATTTCTCCAGTAACTTAAAATGTCATTACACTGGATCGGTTTCGAAGTATAATACTAATACGTAACTATATGTGGAATAGTAGTCGGTTGCTACACATGAGGTTAAGCTTAAGGTTTCGAACGCAGATGATAAAGTGAGGACAAGATATCAGTTTTATGGTTTTGCGAGGTCAGATGTCTTGGTCTCATAACTTTCGCTCCACAAATCAAAGCCAGTCTGATTTATGCTTTCGAGGAACTGGAGTTTCTCGAGCGCACCAAAACATGTCAGCCAATCATGATTCTTCCATTCATTCTTCATTTCTACTTCCATACCTGCGTATTTAGAGTTAGCTTCAAATCGCACACGAGACGTCGGCCATCAAAAGTAATCTCTGAACGTTACATAATTCTTTCTATAAGTAGGTTTCCAATCTCCTTCATCCTCTCTTTCAACAAAGCACCACTTTCAGACTTCTTCACACTCTTCCGCCACCCTAATACCTACTTCAGATCAAATGTGCTGTGGCAGAAAGGTTCCCATGTCCAAGCTGTCCGCCATCCCTCCACGCTCGCGCACGCCAAGCATGAGCTCGTACACAGAGGATCAGAAGCTTCGACAAGACCGTGTTATCCACAACATGGGCTGGGCCAATATGGGCTTGTCCGAAAAGAAGCAGAGGGCCATGGCGGAAACCTTCTACGATGAGATCCAGAAGGCCAAGGATCGCGGCGAGTGGTAAAGCAAGACTAGGTACGAGGTCGTTAATGTTGACCTGGGGATTCTAACAAGCTTACGCCATCGCAGACCTATACTCAAACCTCATGATTGATGTGTTTACTATTTTTAGGAAGAATTGATGACTTCGTCTAGTGGGAAGATAGTCGTGGTTTGATAAGGGCATGTGAGGAATTTTTCTAACGAGCTGTGCTTCAGAGAAGATATGAATTTATTCATAAGGTCGATAATTTTTTATTGTAAGAAGCTTTTTCTTTTGCGATATGTTCAGATCGTGGCGACTCCCGAGAATCTTGGTGGTTTGTGTTTCGAGGATCGAGATCTACCTCATAGGCCTTTACCTTGCTGTTACCATGACTGGTTTCACCACACATCTGACAGATTATACAAAAGGTGTCGCAGAGCGCTGTACATCTTGGTATGAACTCAGACATTTCTTCATTTATGACAAAAATCATTAATGTCGCGCGCGCGGGTAGTTGGTAAGGTGACAAGATGATGCTTATTCATGCTCGAGTCTAGCCAGAATAAGCAAATGGTCCCCCTGCTCATGGCTCGACGATTACCTGAGCATGGCTGACCAATGTCAATGCAATGAAACACCAAGAAATGCACTTGGGAAAGCTGCAGTATTGGTAATGACGCAGACTGTATATAAATAATACCTCTTTTCTCCCGAATGACTCTGCCCATCAATACCATCATTCCACATTCTAACATCATATCATTCAATCTCACACCAACGACTCATCATCGTCATGTCTTCCCCCATCGTTCTCATCTTCGGCGCCGGTGCCAAAGTCGGCAAAAGTGTCGCCCAAGCCTTCAGCGCCAAAGGCTACAGACTTGCTCTAGCTTCCCGATCTCAAGACCCAGCAACCTCAACCGACAAAGAGCTCCATATCCCTACAGACCTTGGCGACACTGACTCAGTCATTCAGGCCTTTACAAAGGTCAGAAGCGAGTTCGGTCATCCTCATGTCGTCATCTACAACGGTAAGTGAATCGCATGCGTTACTAAAACTTTATCTAATTGATTGGTAGCTTATCATGGCGCACCTAACGATCCCAACGACATCTTCCAGGTTCCTCTGGACAGCTTCAAGACAAGCGGTGCAGTCAATATCTTTAGCGCTTACGCCGCAGCCCAAGAAGCCGTCAAAGGCTGGAAAGACTTCCCTAAAAACAGTAGCCCGACATACATTTACACTGGAAACATTGAAAATGAGATGCGTATTGCGTCAATGATGTCGCTGGGTGTTGGAAAGACTGCGGCTGCTTGGTTCATTGAGGTCGCTGCTGCTTCATATAAGGATCAAGGCTTCAAGTGAGTTTATCGATGAGCCTGCTATGAGAAAGAATGCTAATAATAAATAGATTCTACTATGCCGATGAGAGAAAGGAGGATGGAACGCCTATGTATAGTGGAGCAACTGCTGAGGGTCATGCTCAGTTCTATGTTGAGCTTGCTGAGGGCAAGGAGCAGCAGGTTTGGCAGCAGACTTTTGTCTCTGGGCAAGGTTACAAGAAGTTCTGATTGGTTATGCATTTCAAGCAGGGGCTAGTAGTATATCATTTCTCTGTCAGTTCGATTGCACACCCACAACGCTTAAATGCCCATAATAGAATCACTGATAGTAGTTCTCGTTCAACGAAGTGTATTTATAGTTAAGAGATATATACGTTGAAAGTACAGAACTGGTAGCTTTCCCAACCTCAACAAGAGGTGCTTCAAGCACCTTATTAACACCTTATCCAACATCCATCCATCCTCCACGGTATTACTGCCTCAGTGTAAAATTCGAGGCCTCAATGGTAAAGCGCTTAGCAAGACTTGACGGAAGAGTACTTGCAAGCCTTGCTGGGACCAGAGCCAATCTTCTTGGGCTCCTTGCCGGGAACTGTACCCTCGTACTCAACGCAGATCTCCTTGACGGAAGAAGCGCAGGTTCCAGTGATGGTGGAGATGTCACCCTTGTTGGAGTTGATGCCAGTGAGCACCTTTCCGTTGAAGGCCTTGACATTCTTGACGACAACGTTGCGGGTGCCCATCTTCTTGCAGTTACCGCAAGATCGGTAGAGCTTACCGAAGTCAACAACAGTAAAGCCATCGATGGTGACCGTTCCGAGACCGTTGTGCTGGATAACCTTGTCCTCAGCACCGGTAGCACCACCGCCCTTGATGAGAGCGTTGCCGTCGCCCTTGAGGGAGAGAGCATCCTCGCAGACCTTCTTCCACCAGACGTTCTCGATAGTGCAAGAACCCTCGCAGTGAACACCCTCGATCTGGTCAGCGCCAATGATGACGTTCTTGAGAGTAGCACCGTTCTTGAGAATGAAGACGGCATCGGCGTCGCCGCCCTCATCCTGGCCAGTGCACTTGACGCCACGACCGTAGGTCTTCATGCCACCGTCGAAGACGCCGGAGATGGTCTGGGCCTTCTTGTAGGTGACGGAGCCCTTGGAGGCGGGGATAGGGAAGGAGGCGCGTCGCTCGAGGGCGCCCATGGTGTTGGGGGTGATGTTGCCCTGGGGAGAGGCCATGGTGGCGGAGGCGAAGAGGCCGGCGAAGACGATGGAGAACTTCATTTTGATGGATTGGTTGGTTGTTGGTTTAAAAAAGAGGGTGTTTAGATTTCTTGTGAGATTGTAAAAGAGAGGATAACCACCAGGGCTAAAGAGTGTAGAAAGTTAGATTGTAAAGAGAGACTATTGAACTGCAGAACGAAAGGCATAAACTTGAAGGGAGGATCTGAAGTCTTTATAGCAGAATGTCATGAGAGGAATGCTCACAATGGGTCTTGTAAGCTTCATGTTTCAGATCGCATTCAAGGGTGTCGTTGGCAGGAGACGTCCTCTGATTGGAGGAATATTTTTCGCACAACGAGAGCATGTCACCCATCGACCTAATCTAGAACATATCACCCTGAAATCCGTCTATCTGTTTCTCGGATGGAGCCGCAGGGAGGAAAACATACTAACAAGGATCACAAATCCCCAGTTCTTTGTATCAGCCAACGCGTATTCGGTGCGCGGACAGTACGGAGTAGTTGTTTTGCATCGATCTCCATACGAGAAATCAACACGCCAACTACCAGCATACTAAATCGAGACATCTGATCACGATAAGACCAAAAACTCAATCGCAGTAAACCTAAACAGTGACATCGTCCGATGGACAGGGCTGAAAAGGAACAGGAGCTAACCCCAGTTCGAGTTCGCCGGAAATTAGAGTGGAATCATGACAGGTGGATATTCTTTTTTTTCGGACATGGTTAGCCCGACAGTGGTCAGGATACGATACACCAATTTTACGCTGCCCCTGTAACTTGGGTTTAACTCCCTTTAATTTTTAATGCTTAAAAACAAGCTTCATTGGCAGTGACAGACAATTGTGGCTCTTGTTTGTGAAGCGGGCTAAGCTTTTTAGGTCCATATACCATAACTGAAACGCAGACACCGTATTCAGCTACTAGTCTGTGCGCGTGCTACAAATTAAGGGGTCTGCCAGAAGAAGTCACACGGTGAATTTGCTCCAGAGGCTTCAATGGGAAATCTGAAGCACTCGGCTTGTTTATTCATCCCGAGTTCCGATATCCCTGGGTATAACAGACAGTTGTTTGGTAATGACTCCGTATTCCACTGTGGATTTTGTGGTGGGAGCCCATATTTCGGCCCTTCAATTTACGAGGACATGTCACTGCTTTATCTCCACAGAACAGAACAAAATTCCAAACTTTTTCCTTTGCCGACGGGATTAAGAAAAGTGGTGCTGCGTGGGTCAACTGGCAGTGGTCGGGGTCGTTGAGATCTGGGCTTTTCGTAGTTTGGTCGAGAATGGTCGTTACCCTAAAGTGAGCCATAGTTCACCATTAAATGGGACTCTCTATGCTGCGCCTAAGAAGTCATATAGCACAGACAGAAAATGTAGATTTTATATAATTCTTGAATTTTCTTATACTTTTCTATAGAATATCATTACTAAAAGTGTGTTTACCTACCCACATCATTCCCCATCGTTGCTTCAATAGGCCGCACGAAAAGGGATGGCACTTTTGATAATTTCTTATCACACTTTACAGGACAACTGCTCCAGAACCCATACCGCAGAGATTGACTACGTTGATGAACTCCAATAACAATATCCATACTGGTAGGCTGCTGATGCAGGCGACATGACAAGCTCCACGGCACAGAGTAGTGGTTAGACCCCAGAAGGCAAGGTATCCATTGCTGTGCCTCTTCTATACGACCTCTCATCTAATCAATCTGTGCCCCTCATCCAAAGTGGAGGCCTGTTCTTGACTTGTCGGGGCGACGTGGCAGACCCATAGACAGAGAATAATGGACAAATTAGCCCCCAAGCTTGAAACACGCCATAACATCATCCCTTGTTTACGCTGACTGGACTTGGCTAGCCATCCGTATACTTACGGAACTTACCGTCTTGTCTCCTAAGACCTGTTATTCAAACGATTAATGATTTACGGGTGGAGACATGGATCTTCGGGGAGTCGGGTGTTTCGGTCGCTGTTCTCGGCGTAGATCGAGGCGAGAACGCAGAAGAAGTGGAGGTTAGGCGAAGTTGCTGATCTTTGAATGTATTATTTGGTTAGAATTCTTAAGATCTATAGGACGGGTTTTACAAGTGCGTATCAAGGTATCGAAGCTAAAGAAGGCGATGATCTATCTCATATCACTGTTGTATCTTTCTTCCAGTCGTCCAGACTGCCGAAAGCTTAGATCCGAAGCTGCAATGCAACATGTCTGCCGTATTAGGGGATGTCCACAAAGGAGGGTGACAGACCCCAAAGACAAATATATTGATGCAGGAGATCATACATCCCTATTCGTGGACTATGGGACTACCATAATGCCAGCAGACAAAGCCTTGTAGTCCAGTCAGACGAGCAGAAGATTCTCAATGACACGGTCGGACTTGATCAATAATCACCACCTCGGAAGTCGGGGGCTATCCGGGCTCACAGCTAATCTCTCCCAAGAGTCTCCCGATAAGCCGGAGGAAGAATCCCCTCCAGAGCCGCCTTGATCTGCAAAGCCAACGTCCGCGAGTGCCATCGATGCTGCTGCGTATAACCCCCCATGACCCAATAATTGTCCAGTCTCAGATGTCTCTTCCACATTCCTCGTATTTCGCCCTCGGCATCAATGCCCCATGTTGCGTCGAGACGATCTGCAATTTCACGAGGCCCAAGGATCTTTTCATCACTGGCTGTGTGTTTTTCACCTCCCAGAATCTCAGCGGCTACGGAACGAACGTCACGATCTGCGAACCCAGTACACCAAATCACGGCATCCGCGGCAGCCGAGCTCCCATCCGAGAACTGAAGACCGCTCTCAGTAAAAGCGATTGGTTCGACTCCTGCTTTGACGCTGGATTTCCCTTGGGCTATAATGTCTGTTCCGCCAACGTCAACGTAGTGCCCACCAGCTCTCTCAATGAGATTAGAAAAGAGCGCTTGCTTAGGATCTGCACTATCGAGTACGGGAAACCCAGCTTCTCTAAGAGCAGTGTAGCGATCTGGCTCTTGGGACGCGAGCACTCTAAAAAGGTTCCGCGCAAGTTGACCTTCCACCGCGGATGGAAGCATTAGAAACATCCTGTCGCCGCGTGCGACATCAAAATTGTACGCGCCTAGACTGACGTCGTTGCAGATATACTCGAACGGGCAAATGTATGTTGGCGATCGCACGACCATTGTTGGCTCTAGACTGGCTAAATGGCAGTCGCCGAGGATATCGAAAGCTGTGTTTGCTGATCCTATGATGAGGACGGACTGTATACGTTAGACTGTATGACTGTGGCGAAGCTTGATCACCAACCTTGACGCCTTGCTCGACAAGTGCTCTTGCGTTTTTGTAATCCGACGAGTGGATGTTGATCCCTTTGTAGACCTCTACACTTGCAATAGTGGGAACATGCGGCTTTTGCGAGGAAACACCTGTTGCTTGGACTAGTTGCTTAGCAGTTACTGCAACCGCTCCAGCAGGAGTTTGCAGTTCTATCGTCCATTTCTCACTTGACCTATCGTAAACCGTCGACTGAATTATTGCCGACGTAATGACGTTGAGGTTGAATGACGCGACATATTGTGCCAGGTGATTGGCCAGTTCATCCTTGCTTAGACGGTGAAGGCCCCGAAGTTCTTCTGGGTAGCCTGCACGTGTTAGCTGGATCACCGTGTCCAAAGTGGCTCGATTTAGCTCACTCATGTACGGCATGTCGCAGAATGAAGTTGGCACGTGAAACTTCATGCAGTCGTAGCGCTTGGCCCAGTTATCGCCAACACGGGCATTCCGTTCAGCCATGATACTCTCGACACCAAAGGTCTTGAGCCGAGCGGCGAGAGCTGCAGCGCTACAGAACCGTTAGTCAGAGAAGATATTGACACTGATTAATTGACTCACGCGTTGCCGCCACCAATAATGAAGACGTCGGTATCAATATTTACTATACCATTCAGATTGCGACCGGGTGTTTGAAGTAGAGATTCGTCTTCTGGATGAACATCGAGGTTCTCAAGTTTGGTGCTCAGAATCCAGATCCTCCACTCAAGCTTGCCCTGGTCGCTCTCCACCGGGAGGAGTACGATTCTTGCACTGCATGAAGCTGCGGGCGACAAGGTTCTAAACGACAACGCGACGTCAATAAATTGCTAGAGTGAAACAAGTTGTCATTAGTTTCTTCCATCGATTTATCCTGAATGTTGGCAGTAAACCTACCAGTACAGGTGTCGCAGCGACGAAAACCGCGCTCTCCATGTTCCATCTCATAGAGAGACCTCTCATCTTGTTCGTTTCTAATAGATTGGCGACTATGACCGAAGGAGTGTAAAAGGTTCGCAGATGATAAGTAAATGCCAATGCGTCTTTCCAGTAGGCTTGATCATCGAAGAAGCAGTCTTGAAGAGCTCGGGCATCGCTTCCTCTCAGGGCATCGTGAAATGCCTTGACGACGGCCGTGGCTTGGTCTGATGGATCGACATCTTCAAAGGATATCTTTCCGACAATCTTCGGTGGAAGAACAGGAATAGGCCGTTCATCAAAGAGCTGAAGCAGACTTGCGACCGGGGGACAGGGCTCAGAAACATTGTCTTTCAGGTCATCGTCAGAGGGAGTGACTATCGGGGCAATTGACTTACTAGCTTCCATTTTAAGATAATACTGAGTTTGTAAACTTTGCGAAATACTAATGTGAATTGCGGGGATGAGGGATCTATCAATAATGATAGACGAGCCAAGGAGAGTATAAAAGTGGACGAGTATACGGTATGGCCAGAGACGATGTAACGACGGGTAGCCTTGTATCCATTCCAATGCATGTTTGCTCTCTACCAGACCAACCAACCAATTCCTCATGCAGCTTGCAGCAAATAGGTGACGCGTCTGCCTGGCCGGGGTCCGAAGCCCGGAACCAACAGAAGAGGTTGTCGAATCGCGATAGGGCTGGGGATATCAATGCTGTTGGTTGCCAACGGCCAGTGTAACGCTGGCGTGAAAGCCACCAACAAACAACCCCGCCAGGTGCCAATCAGCTATTTTCAGACTGTTCCGAGAACTGCTATTTTTGGGGCCTGGCTTATCGCTTAAAGCTTTATTTACCACATGAACGATCTTAGCCGTCGCATCTTGTGCTGGCGCTGCCCGAACAATCGGCTTGCAAAAGATCTTCTTTTGGACAAGGTGATGAGCATTTGGGAACCCGATATACCCTGCATGACCGCCCGACGAAGCATGTCATAGCACCGTCTATTGGTGCATTCATATGCATATTGGGCTGTTTATCGGAGACTTGGGCCTTATGACTCCACAAACCTACTGAGGTACTGCATATGCAGCTTACAGCTTGGTGTGCGCTGATCTGTAAGTTCAGAGACTGTCTGGCCCCTTCATGCCTCATTGACCACCATCTATGAGACATCGTTGACTGCTGTAGAGCAGCTCATACTCTGCTAAATAATCTCACAAGACTACTTTTTGGGTCCTGGAGACAAATGCCCGTTCATGTCTGGTACTTCGCAATGATCCTGGGCTTCTGGCGATACCTGGACTAGGTTATCTATTTCAAGCCTTACAGTTTTTTCCCCATAACTTATCAAACATGAGTTTTAACATGCCTTTGACTTTGAGAGAGACGGGCGACAATGGCCTTGATGTTGGCTACAAGACTTTAAGAAGAATCTATCTATTATGAATACACAAGGAATCCCGATACCTCTATAATTGCCCTTTGCACTAATTATTTGTGAAATATAATTGAACGGATACTAATATGCTTGCAGCCAACTAGGAACATCTGGGTCTGTATCTGGCAACCCATATGAGCTCTCATCAATCAGTTCTGATATCTTGACTTCCAACTCCTTATGCCTTTCTCCCATATTTTCTCCCTCACGAGCCAAAGCAACAAAGTCCATAATACTCTGACAATCGTCCCAGATCCTTGCCCTGTTTCTAATACCTGGCAACGGGCTCGTCGCGGGGCTGAACAGAAGCCATACTCGCCTCCAATTCATATCACGTCGCTCACCTTTGCCACGTATCCAAGCCTCCACGTTGATGCGAAAGCCGTGCCAATCCTTGAGCAAGGTCTTCAGCTTTTCATGATAAGGCGCTATGATCTCCTCTCGGCACTGATGGCTAGCAGCCTTGGTCGCGTTATAAACTTGCTCCATCTCAGGGTCTTCAAAGATGATAGGTGCCCATCGAGACTCCTCCTCTTCTTCAGACTCTAATCCGACGGGTAGTGTTGGTGGTGGTATACCCAAAGGACAGAGAGGATCCCATGTCGGTAGGCAGTCACGAGACGCAGGATATTCGTTATTCTCAAGAACCTCCCAAAGCCAAGTCATGTCTCTCAGTACACTTTCTCTGAATATTGGCTGCGCAAGCGTAAACATCGCCCTACACGTCTTGGCCGCGTTGTCGACCTCAGTTATGTCAAGATACGACAGAGTATGTTGAATAATCTCAGCGGGCAGGGCCAAGAACCCTGTCGTGTGCTGGGTATACCCCTTGATTTCTGGGTCTTCCATACAAAACTCCAACACTCGAGACAGACCGGGGATCTCAACAGGGTTTGCGACAAGCCACTCATCGCCGGGGATATGTAGCCACGGGAAGTCCCACTGCGTGCGGGCTCGTTGCAGTTCTGTCAAGTGTGTCTGTTCTCGCATCGGTTCCGGAATACGATCTTCAAGACCGTATGAAGCTGGCATGTTTCGCATCTCACGCCAGTGCCACAGTCCGTTCAAGTCAACGTATCCTAGACGGTGGAGTGAGGCTTTCGCATATATATCGAGACAATATGAATGCACTGGTAGTGGCACCAGCGACTCTTCAAGCTCCTGGCACACCTGTTAGCTACTATTACCACCAAAGCCCGTTAAATAAGCTTACCATACAACCTTCGCTAACATACACCCAGCTTGTGCTTATTTCCTTCAATCCATGTCGTGGTGGGTAAAGCGAGTGAGTTCCTCTGAAATTTCGACTCTCAGTCATATTTGAGCCGTTTGACTCTCCAGATACGTAGAACAGATTATCACGGCTTGCCTCGAGAAGTTGATCGCTGGAATCAGCTTTCCAGCTTGACGACTTGGGGACGAGATATCGGATATTTCGACAGTTCTTCATTTGTGCAACGCTGAGGACATGGCCGTTGATACCTTGCAGATTTTGACACGAGGGTGATGCGATGTGTTCTGGGGGGACATTCGAATGGTCAGGGCTTAGTAGAGACCATTTCTGCGAATGTTGGCGATCACCTGTGTAGTAGGCTAGACCGTTGTGCCATGTGCCGTGCGGTAAACGATCAGGAAATGGGATTTCATAAAGATCCGCAAGAGGGTACTGGTCAGGTGCCGTATTTGAATAGTCGCTATCCTCCTCACCAGATATATATGAGATTTCACGCTCGATACCGTCGCTCTCAGTCTCCCATCCGGAATCATACTCCAGAGGCTCTTCATCACTGGAACTCTGTGCATCTGGCGTCCAATCTGGGTCATCCTCACCATCCTGGTCCGGCCATGCGTTAATTTCTGGAGGTCTAGTTGAACCCCGATCATCCGTTGCGCATTGTGGGCTATCTCTGTCCTCAAACTCATCTTGATGCGGCCATTTACGGAAGCCAACGTAATCGGCACCCTCCAAGTTCCAAGCTGCGCTGAACGGCTCATCTGGAGTGCGGATGCGGGCGGTAGCCATGTCGACGCCGCAGATTTGACAGCTGAAGGAGTACATAGTATAGTCGGTTGTTGAATGTGAACTAGTGATCAAGGGCAAAGTCCGGCCGTGTCAGCTCAGTTGGGCGGTAGATGGTGATGTTGAAATACGATGGTATAAAATTTAGGGGTTTCAGAAAAGCGAGATCGGTGGGTTAGTGGCCTGGCTGTATGGGTCTAATCTCAAACAAGGCAAGTTGTTTCTTCATGATCCCTGTCCTTGTTACAGCAAGTTAACCTGTACCGAATTGATATACGAAGAGTACCCGCAAGACATGTTGGCCGAGTAGTATTATATAATATATATTCATGGAAATCCGCTCGAGAGTTCTATTTATACCGATTAAAAAAGTGTTGAGAGAATAAGGCTGGATGAGTAAAACAGCTCAGTGCTTCCTGGCTTTAAGTACAACATTGAGCCGAGGCGCGTCTAGCGTAAAATAGTCTCTTAGGTCTTTAAGAAACGCCGACTTCCTTGCAGTTCCCTCACCAGAAAGGCAAATATCAAAGCAATGTAAGATCATACACGCAGCATAGCCAACTTCCATAAGACCCAATTGCTTACCCACACATGCATAACGACCTGAATAATGCTATTAGCCTCAAGGATCAAAGAAATATTATTTGTGGATGGTCAAGACCTACCAACTGAGAATGGTGCAAATACTGAATCGTCCTTCACCATCTCTGGTCTTGTCGTCCAGCGCTCTGGGACGAAGTCATCAGGAGCGGTGAAGTACCGTTCATCTGTTAGCCAGGTTAATTTGACAAGGTACATCGAACGGTAGTTTACTCATTATATGGTGCTGTATACCTCGATATAGTGTATAGGATGGAACAGTCACTATGGTATCTCCGGGAATGAAGATGTCACCGACTCGTAGCCCTTCTGCAGGGGTCATACGCTGCAACCCAGATGGAACTGGAGGAAACAGCCGAAGTGTCTCATCAATACAAGCTTGAAGGTATGTCAACTTAGAAAAGTTCGAGTGGTTAGGGTGTGAAGAGCTGGAAAACAAGTTGTCGATCTCCTCTTGAAGCGGCATGCACGCATCTTTGTTGGTGGCCAATAACTAAAAAAGGCAAGTAAGTGTTACAGAAGTGGTATCGCTGGACTCAAGATTAGTCGACAGGCTCTGCCACGTAAAATACGTCGCCTTACCTTCCAGCAACAGCTATAAGCTGCATGTCAGCTTGTAGGTTTAGCCAATCTTGCTCTTTGGTATATAGCTGGGCTTTATAATCCTCAAGAAGCCAAGAGAAGATGTTAGGAAGGTCCGGTTTGTTCTGTATCACCGCATGAGCCATCGCCCAGAAGGTCAAACATGGTCGTGGCATACCTGTTCTTGATGTCGAACTTGATTCTCAAGCCATTTCTGGAAGATAGCATCTTCCCTACCAAGGAACGGTAGAACTCTGAACAAAGGAAACAACCAAATCAGTTGACTGAAGGTTCCAGCCATCGCCATGTGCGACTCAACCAGTGCCATGAACAGGTGCTTAATGCCATCTGTTAGCATGTTGAAGCTCTGACCAAAGGCTAGGTCACCCATGGTATCGAAGCTGTAAAACTTGAATCACTTTGCGATGTCGACAGGCATATCTTGGGTCTCTTCCAATCGATCGAGTAGCTGGCTGGTGTATTTGACCACGCGGGGCTCGTAATCACGGAGAGCTATGTAAACTAGTCAGTCTTCTTCAAGCTTGACGGTGGCTTTTCAGAAATCACCCTTTGAGCTAAACGCCCTGTCCCAGGCTCGTCGCCTACGAGAGTGATCGTTCTTGTCCCGCGACATGTGGAGAGAGATAGCCGGCTGTTCGATGTTATACCAAGGTCCCTTACTGCAGGGAGAATTGTTGGAGTGTATTGCACGGAAAATCTTGGCATCGAGGATAGACAGTGCCGAGGGTCCTATAAATATTAGATTAGCACCAACGGTAGGTGGTGAGGACGTTGTCACTTGCCGACGCGCACAATATCCCCATATTTCCTATGAAGGTCCCGAATCTCTCTGTAGAGCTGGAAGCTAGCAACGGAACGCTTGGTGAGATAAAAATTGGAGACTTTGGCCATGACGGGGCCCGGAAACCTGTACAACCGGTGAAAAAAGCTGATGCGGTAAACAAGTATGCTGAAAAGGGTTCCCGAGACCATGAAGAATTCGCCCTCCGTAGGAACAAATCGGGAGCTAATTTGATGTGATGGCCTAGATCGGGCTAGATCTGCCTTCTGTAAGCCAGGAACGAGATGGTGAAACAAAACAGCAGGGGTGAAATCAAGACTGATGAAGGACTTCATCTGACATAGCATGATATCAAGGAACTTCGGCATTTTAGGTTCATCTTTCCAAGTTGACCTGCCTCATCCTCTCGGTAGCATCAGTGCCACTTCATGCTTTGCAACCTCCCAATTTCCTGGATCCGATTATGTGCCAGAGAATATGGTGTCAAGATATAAGGAGTATGGATAGTAAATAATACTCAAGCTAAACCAACACACACTCTTGACTTCTTCAATGAGACGTGGCATTCATATTGTCAGGTTGCCTCCTATACACTATCTATATAAACATCGGCAGTTGACCACGGATGCTGGAACACCCTTCCGATCGATATACCGACACTGACATGCATTGCTATCAAGACCCCTGTCCACTGTCTCTGATCGACCTCGTCAAATCTTAATTGCGAATACCCCTGTTAGCCGGCTTATGAAGCCGTGACAAACTTTCCCTATTCGGTGTTATGCATATGATAGTTGACGGAAGTACTCCGTGCTTACCCCAGAACGCTGTGACGAGAGGAGTATCTGTATTTCCTACCGGGTCTCGCACCGGAACGAGGGTATCAGTACGGGCTTCATTATGAGCGTTTTCATTTCTGGGAGAAGGTAGTTAATCGGACTGTATGAACTAGACGTAGACTATTTAAACACGTATGAAATCTGTTTTGCTTCTTTCGTGGTCTGCTTATCAACTCACCACCTTGCATTTTCTTATCATCTTTCGGATTTCGCAGTCATGCAATCTCATCAAAAGCTCTGCATCGCTATCTTTGGCCCTACCGCCTCAGGGAAGACCAAGCTGGGGGTTGCCATTGCAAAAGCCTTTCCGAGTGAGGTTATCTCCGTCGACAGCCTACAGTGCTACAAAGCGGGCAGCATTATCACAGCTAGGCCTACTGCCCAAGAGATAGCTGATGTTCCTCATCATCTGATTAACTACCTCGAGGCTTAGTAAGAACCCAATGACTTTATGGCGCAAGCTGCTGACAAGATGGAGGAAATCACAAATCGAGGAAAATTCCCCATTCTTGTCGGCGGCTCGACTTCTCTCGCAATACCTTTGCTGCATGAGGCACTGAAGCGGCAGTATCGGTTTGTGGCTGCAACTCTGATCCCGCGTCAGTCAACATACTGGCAGTCCATCCATGTTAGAGCAAGCGAGATGCTCGAGAGAGGTCTGTTGGCCGAACTAGAGGAGTTAAGAGACCTGCAGCAGAGTCTCCTCGATGACAACGCATGCTTCCATAAGGGTGTATGGAAGGCCATTGGGTATCAGGAGTTCTATCCGTATCTCGAGGCAGACTCGCCACGCAACGCCCGTCAGTCGTCATTCCAGAATGGTCTCGCACTCATGAACGCCAATACTCTGCAGTATGGTTTCCATCAACTAGAGTGGATACGTTCCATCCTGAACCCCTTCCTTCACCAGGCCGGTGTAGTATGCATGAGCCTCCCTGTGACCAACAAGGCTTCGTGGATGTCAGAAGTTGAGATACCTGCTATCTCAATGCTCAACGAGCTTTGTTACAGTTTGCGAACGATTCAAGTCTCCGCCAACGGCGCATTAAAATCTAGCTCCAAGTGTCGAGTCGTCGGGCTATTGTAGATCTCCCTTTTGTTCCTACTTACTGACATTAAGCTAACCTTCGCTAGTGGCGGATCTTCGCCGGGGAATGATCCGGGTCACATCGATGCAGCCAAAAAGCTTGCATTTGCTCTCCACCAACATAACTACAAACTCGTCTACGGCGGCGGAACGACTGGGATCATGGGCGCCATAGCCAGCACTCTGGTTCAACTCTCAGGACCAAGTGCCGTCCAAGGCATCATTCCTGTAGCACTCGCCAAGTACGAAGAAAGACTCACCAACAAAAGGGCCGATCCTTCAAAGTTCGGGAACAGGACTGTCGTCAAAGACATGCATACACGTAAGAGACTCATGATAGAGGCAGTCATTGGTGGCGCTCCAGGGAGCGGCTTTGTAGCTCTCAGTGGGGGATATGGTACCTTGGAGGAACTCCTTGAAATCACTACTTGGTACCAGCTTGGTATTCATCAATGCGGCATCTGTGTGTTTGACGTATGCGGCTTCTACAAGGGCTTGATGGACTGGGTTCGTCAAGCTGCATAGGCAGGGTTTGTTGGCACTGAGGATGCTACTATTCTGCGGGTTGCAACGACGGCTGAGGATGTCATCGGCTGCCTGGGCAGTAATGATCATCGTTATTCGCGGATGGGTGAACTGGAATGGGATTAGTCGCTACCTGATCAGGACAGATGAGTGCCGAAAGCACAGCGTTACATGGCATAGTAGCATTACGATATATCATTTTCACCTATCACACTGCGTGTGTCAACATTCTAGAGCTTGATGTACTTGAATGAAGCAAACCGGCATGTTATGAACAAGAATCAGGCTTTCGCTGCAGGTCTTCACATGGCGACGTGATCAAGGGTCAACTGCCGCTTCCCAAAGCCGCTTTTGAACTAACCAGTAAAACCTTGCCGCTGACAGCCTGCAATGAACGCTACTCACACGCGAGGGGCCTCATAATCGACGAGGTTCCATTCCCAAGGTGAACCATGTCAAATTCTGTTGCCACGTTGACCGATCCGTCATAACCGTTATGGTCACTGCAGATTATCATATGTTTTTGAGTTTATCGGATATAGGGACCGTGACCTAAACCCGGAAAAGCTTATGTCGCAGCAGGCTTGATCTAGAGATGGGGATTGTTGATTGATCTAAATTGGAGCCTGTCTGTGGGTAGCGCATGTGTTTCAATGACAAGATCGCAATAACCTCGACTTTGTATGAGCGTTTCAATTCATCGTCCCAAGTTGATCTGATAATCTGGTAGCATTGGAGAATCCGGTATGACGCGTTAGACTCTTATTCACAATCCGGCACTATGGTACACAGTGAGGTAATCATCGTAGGAGCTGGCTTTGGTGGCATCCAGCTACTTCATGCTCTTCGCCAAAAAGGATTTCAATGCAAGATCCTTGAAAAAGAAGGCCATGTTCAAGATGCGAGAAGAAGGCATTGGGTAGATTAAACCCACAGTGGAAGCAGAGAGTAGGTGGACCGAGGATCTTTGTTGCATATATAGCAACAGTCTTTTTAGTAATACGAGATCGTGACATGATAGTTCTAATATTCCTGACAAGAAGGTTGGGCTTTTGGTTTTTATGGGTAGATTTCCTTTGCCGAAGGATTTCTTATAGTGCTCTTGAGGATAACTGCCAAGGTTTCAAAGTCCAGTATAGATAGGAGATAGGTTTGCTTCGAATTCATCTCTTCGTTCTCAAACTTCACTCGGATTGAGGAGATAAGGTTAGATTGATTAATAGAGAGCTCTATATCAAGTGAAGCAATTCACAGTTTACTCTTATCCTGACCTGTAACCTTGATTAAAGCCAATCCATTACTCAAAACAACCTTGCCACCGGCAACTTGCGTAGCAAATCTCACCTCGGACCAACCGTCCTGGTTGACCCCCATAACCCAAGCATGCGTAACCAGCTTGTCACCCGGCCTCACAGGACTAGCAAACCTCGCCTGATACTCCTTAATGTTGGAAGGGTCCCCACCGCCCAGCTCCTTCAAGAGCGAATGAGCTGTCGAATTCCACGAATAAAGCCCATGCATAATTGTTCCTCCGAAACCCATCTTCTTCCCAGGCTCAGGATCAGCATGCAGCGGGTTGTAATCTCCATTCAACCTGTACAACATCGCCGACTCTGCGGTAGTCTGCACCTCAATCGTAGCATCAGGGGCCTTGTCTTTCGGTGGAGGATAGTTCTCCGTCGCTGGACCCTTGGGACCTCCCCAGTTACCTTGGCCGATGAAGAAGCCGCTGCTAGTAACGCGGGCATGCACCTCACCGGAATCCACGTCGATGAGGTCAGTCTGCGTCTCGAGGACAGTTCCGGGGCGACCCTTGTCATAGACGCCGATGACCTTCTGACGGGTTTCGAAATTGCGGCCGGCGGAGGTGGTTGGGAGGGGCTTTAGGAATTCAATCTTCCGCTGGCCGTCAACAACGCGTGTGTAGTCGAGCTTGGGGACACCGGGAATCTGAACAGCTTTGCTTTCCTTGTAGTAGTCGACTACTTCCTGGGAATCCTTCTTGAAGGCTGTGAAGGGTCAATGATTGCGGGGAAAGGCTAGAGGAGCGGGACTTACGAAGGATGACGGGGTAAGTAGGGAATACGGCGAATTTCGGATGAAACTCCTGTGTCGTGTCAGTAAGAGCTCATTATTTCCAGGCAGGATCACGACGGACGTAGAGGAAGTGCAGTTCGTCAACCGTAGCGCCGATGGTATTGGCGAAGAGGAGGACATCGCGCTGCAGCCACGTAACCTTGACAGGCGGGTACTCAAAGCCAACACCGGGACCTGACATGATGAGTGATTTGGGATGTGTGTATGTGAGTATGAGAAAGGACAATGGAGGAGAAGTAAAGAGGAGATGGACTATATACCCCAGACTTAATTAGTAGCCAAGTGAAATGAGCCGAGGTTTGCGGGGTGTGGGGAAGGGGACCCGGTGTTATTACCCTGGACTTGATTGGTGGCGGAGTAAAACAAACCGAGGCTTGCAGGGTAGAGGGGGAAAGGTATTCTAATTAACAGGTTAGTAAAATAAATATAAAATAGAATTTGTATCTGCTTTTTTTTTAAAAAGAATATGTTATCATCTATATTTACTATTTACATAATAAATTGGTATATCTCTTAATTTACTTAGTTTTTTTCTTTTTATATAATATTAATAATATTAAATTCTTTTAAGAAATTGAAACAACCCAATCTTCAGCATAACCTGACCTGTGTAGTTGCGATAGTAAGCTTTTAGTTTATACAGCAAGATGACCTGATGAGTTAAGGAGGCATGGCCATTGATAAGCAGATTAGCATAACGTTGCTACTTGACGGCTGACATATGTGGTGATACGACAATTAGTCAGGCATATCGTATCACATCACGTAATCCTCAACTTAGAACTGTATTTATATGCAGGCCGAAGCACTCAGGATTTCTATCAACCGAATAGCACTGAGAAGTCAACAACATCATGACAACTACAAAAGCTCTCGTTAATATTCGCCCGGGCCATGCTGAGATTCAGGACATTCCCGTGCCAGCACTTGAGCCCGGTTACACCAGAGTTAAACCCACCGCGTGGGCTATCAACCCAGACGATACTTACCACCTTGGCCTAGAAGGTGATGAGAATTGTGCTAGTGCCGTTGTAGGAACAGACTATGCAGGTGTTGTTGTAGAAGTTGGACCTGGAGTGGAGAGGGACTTTAAAGTTGGGGATCGCATTGCTGGTGGTGTCGTCGGGCAGTATGCAAGCCTTTGAGATATTGGTGTATGACCAGTATTGACATGTTTTTAGGAATATTCTGCGGAAGCATGATGGTGCTTTTGCTCACTTGATTCATGTCAAGGGGGATATTCAGATGAAGATCCCCGATAACATGAGTGACCACGATGCTGCGACTCAGGGTGTTGCTCTCATCACAATGGTATGCTTAGTCCTTCTACAAGTCGTCGGTTTCTACTAATGATAATTTTCACAGGGCGTTGGCTTATACCAGCATCTCCATCTTCCTCTTCCAGATGCACCAGCAAAGAAGCCTTTTCCTGTCTTCATCTATGGTGGGAGTACAGCTATGGGGATCTCAGCAATCCAGTTTGCAAAGCTCGCTGGCGCCACAGTCATTACTACTTCGTCACCCAGTAATGCAGATTATGTCAAGTCTCTAGGTGCCGATTACGTCCTTGGCTACAAGTCCGAAACTCTCGTCGACGACATACTCAGACTATCAGGCGGTCCTCTCCTCCACGTCTTCGACACACATCCCAACTCCACCAGCATCGCCACCTCCGCAGCAATCCTCCAAAAGTCCTCCTCTGCGATCTACATCTCCCTCAACCCCGGCCCCGAACACGAAGTCAAACGCCTTAACCCCGACGTCACCGCCGAATCTATCCTGGCATACTCAGCCACGGGTAATCCGTGGATGTACGAGAATGAGTTTTACGAGGCTGTACCAGCAGATTTTACATTCCAGAAGAGGTTTGTCAAAGTGGCTGAGAAGCTGCTCGAAAAGGGGCTAGTGAAGCCGCCGCGTGTTTATCTAAACAGAGGTGGCAGTGGCTTGGAGGGCGTTTTGAAGGGGCTGGTTGAGATGAGTAAGGGGAGAGTCAGTGGCGGGAAGCTTGTGTACTCGCGAGAGTGAGGATTATTAATCTTTGAGTTTGGGACGTTGATCATTGACGATCAGGATAGCGTTGACGTAAATTGAGCTAACGGATTAGATATTAAACATTACTAGTGACTAACGTGCATGATAAGCGAGTGCTCCAGACAAGCGAGTGCTCCACCAATCTACACGTGAAGACTCAGAAAGAGAAATAAAACACCACAACATATCTGATCAATTAAAATTAATCGCTAGACTATTCCCTATTAACCTCAATTGACTCTTGACAGGTCCTTGCAGTATGCCCGGTCTTTCCGCAAATACTACATCGCCGAGGCTTTGATCCTTG